ACACGTGCAAAACACTTAACAGCATTGCCGAATTTTTCCGTCACCCGGTGATATGGAGTCTGGGAAATGGATCAATATTTAAAGGTTAGTGGCCAATGGATTGGTTTCAGGGCTAAGCTTTTGGTAAACAATAAAATTTATAATACAATTAAGAACTTAAATTGGCAAATTTTTTTAAAACTGAAACTAAAAACCCCCTTAGGAATAAATAAATTTCAATTTTCAAATCACAGTTTTCATCTAAAATTTATAATTAGTATGATCTTTAATCAAATGACTTAGAACACAAACTTAGCCTAAAATTTTTATATGCCTGTATACGGCTAAAACTTTAAAGCCAAGCAATTAAAGTTTGTAATTTATTTCAATGTTAATTATAAAATTGCTTTTTGTTCTATGAACAAAATACTTACCACTCTAACTTTGATTGCCTAACCTATTTATTGGCTAGTTTTACAACCAAATTCAAATAGCAAGCTGCGCCTTCCCAACTGCTGTGCAAACTGAGTTTGATTAATTACGTATTCTAAACTGAATCGTGGCTAATAACCATAATTATGTCCGCTAGCTGTTGCCATTGTATGGCCACTTGACACACATTTATGACCGTTCTTGTGCCCAATCTGTCGGATGGATGCCGCACCTTGCGGAGCACATATCTCCGGATCGGAGCCCCAGAGAGCAAGGTGCAGGAACAACGCCCCAAGAAGCCCTCGACCCCGAAGTCGGTGGCATCGATTTTAGAAAGTCCGTCGACTCGAGGCGAGTCGAGCATTAAAACGGTAAAGCCGCAGTCAAAGCCTTTTCCTTTTGGCCAGTGCCGCGTCAGGAGCGGAAAAGCAAAAACCCCAGACCGAAATCCGAAATCCGAAATCCGAAGCCTATATATAACTCGATGGCAAAAGGCAGCCGCATAAATTTCATTGCAGACATTTGGCCTTTTATTAATTGTTTGACGGCGCCCGTGCCCATGAAGCGGGACATCCCCTCCTCCAATGCCTCCTGCCCACCTCCCACCGACCACCTGCCTCCCGAATCAAGAACCAACCCAAGTGAAGCGGCAGCTTCGGGAGCACTGCAGCCACTGCAACTGCATTTTCCTCTCTCTGGGCGTGATGAGAAATTTAATATTGGCAAACGGATAAAACCGCCAGATAATTATACATTTTGAGTGGCCAAAGCTGCGGACTTGGACTGCAGTTCGGAGTCTTTGGTTTTGGTTTTGGCTTTAGCTTCGGCTTCAGCATCAGCTTCAGCTGCGGCTTTACAGTTCATGCGCCTCATGATAGTATAAGATTTCATTTCATTAAAGTGCATCACGACGGACAACGGCCAATGGACGGCAGGCGGAATCAATGAGCGGCGGCTACATAGTTCCCCTCCAAATCTTCGCGGACTTCCAACCCAATACCATTCCCTGCTAGGCAGCTACCAGCAAGAAACACTACAAGAAAATGGTAGGTTCTTGCTTAGCAGGTCTGTTTAGCTTACTGACTAAAAGGCAACTGCCATATATAACCAAGGCATTGCAAAATAAAAACCAAATCTAATTTAAAAAAAAATAACTTACATAATCTATGTTGTTGTACAAATTTAAACAGATTTATTGGACTTGAATATAACCTTGAATACTTTTGTTTTTCCTAACACACAAAAATAAATTAATAATTTTTGAATAAAAGTATTTGAGTCATTAACCATTAATAATTTGTATTATTATATAAAAGTGAAAAAAGCTACTTCAACTTTTTCCCAGTGCACCTACCTCGCTAACTTTTCTTCTTATTGGCAGATTACGGCGGCGGGGTGGCCGGGACGTAGCCCGGGCAACTTATAATCAAATCCGATAAAAAATTTCATTATTGCTCCACAGCAGCAGCAACAACAAAAACCATAACTGTTTTACAGGTAATTTTGCTGTTGTTGTTATGATTGTTGCTGGCTGCACTTAATTTTCGCATGCGCACTGGAAACCGAGCTCATGATCGCGATTTCTTGATCTTCCGTCTTCCCATCCCAGAATTGGAACCTCCCCCCAGCCGCAGATCCCACAAGCCCCCGATCTCCGCCAGAAACTTTTCGCTCCCGTTCGTGTGCGGACGCCATTTTGCGATTGCGATTGGGTTCTCAGAGGCCAGAGCTCGGAGTTATAGCCACTGAGCCACTGAGCCACAGAGCCACGGAGCCACGGAGTCATTGAGCCACTGGAGGTCAGTTCGGTCCACAGGAATAGAAAGAAGCTTTGATTCGAAATGGCAATCTCTGGCCTATCGCCGCCGCCGCCGCTGCTCCGGCAGCACATAAATTGGGACGTGATTATGAAATAATTGCAATTCTATACTTTGGACTTGCGCAACTGAGCCAAGCCAAAAGGTAAAGCCACACGGCAAAGAACTGCGATGAATTCGAACAAAACAAACGTATAATTTATTTAAAAAAGAAAACATTTTGGTCATCTGTGTTGAAAGCAACATTTTTGTAGTGTAACAAAACACATGATAAATGGCAGATATATATTTTGCTATAATATATTTTAAAGAGATAAGTTCTAAAATATTTTTTTTGTAAAGCTCTAACTGGCTTAAATGTACTTTAGAAATCAAAATAAAATGAATTTAATTTCTCTGTGTGGAAAGGCAAAAAGGCAATCAGTTGGCTTCGTTGGCTTCGATTTGCACCTTGGGGAGCAGCAGCCACCACTTCAAATGGGAGCAGGTGACAGGCGACAGATGGGTTTCAGTGTGATGAGGAAGCAACTCCAACTGCAATTGCTGCTGCGAAACTGTCGCCACACAAATCAAAAGAAATCGCTCTGGAATACGCAACTGTCATTAAATTAACGCAAAAGCAAACCGCTTTCATTCATTAGAGGTTTCAAGGGAACTGTAACCACAATCAATTCATGTTTTTCACAGCTTTCACAATCAATTTATATCGATTGGATAAAAGTTGGCTTGCTAAAATGTCTTCTTGACTTGAGACTAGAAAGTCATAAAGAACATACGGTAAACACAACATAAAAATGATATTAAAATTGCACATTGTTATGCATCGCAAAGCGAAATTAAGTTCCAAAAAAGTTATACAAAGTTATACAAAAGTTATTTTGTATAAACTTATTGATTGACAGTTTCGAAAATCTGGCCGTTCTTTTTAATGTTATAAATTAAAAATAAAAGTTAAATTTTCCCTTTCCAAAACGCTTATTTTCAAAGCCATTCACAAAACTATGGAAAATAAAAAGAAGTATAAATCTACAAATTAAAAAATGATAATGTAAAATCAAAATCGTATAATAATAATTGAATAATGTGAGTTAACAAGTTTAAGTTTAAGTTTAAAAACTTTGTTGAAAAAAATATTTTTACATTTAAAACAATTACCTTTTGTATTTTAAATATATTAGGCATTGTACAAGTGATTATGAAAAGGGAAATGTATTATTTCCATAACGTTATTCCTTGAATAACATTTTTTTTTGTTTTCATAGCTTTACCATAACCATTCAGAGAACTACTGAGAGCCAATGCTTCCGTGACAAATCCCTCTTGTCGACATTACACCTGATCCACGTGCAACTCCCCCAACTCATTTGCATCCTTGAGTCCCTCAAGGGGGCCTCCTGGACAGCGCTCCTCAGTCCACTCAGACGTCCGCCAACATATGCAAATTAAATATAATTTCAACACTCGCATTTTTTTTGACTCTGCTGCCGACGGCTCCTCCGCCTCGGGACCATAATTTACATGAGGTTAACACGCAAGCGAACAGCAGACAACAACAAAGAACCGGCCTTGATTATCAGCGGCAAATCGAATGCACGCACATGCGAAGGATGCGGGGGTGGATCTGGAAGGGGGGGGATTTTGGGAGCAGGAGCAGGAGCAGGGGCAGTCGCCGAAAAGGAAGTCAAGTTTTAAAAGGCTGAAAGAAATTCTATTACAATGTTGAAATATTGCCAAATCATGGCTTTGGGGTAAATAAATTTCCACGCCACCGCGCGCTATGACCGCTGAACCTGGATGGATGGCAATGGAGGATGAATCGGAAAACTAGAGGATGGATAGATGCAGGTACACGGAAAATAATTTCATGATATATAACAAGTTTAGTTCACAATTTTTTGCAGCTACTACTACACTAGATTATATCATTAAAGTACAAAATTAAAAATAAAACCATACAAGAAAATTAACATTTTATGTTATTAAAACATTGACTATTAAAGATGTTTTTGAAATAATTTACAGATACATTTTTTTTTAAGTATCGTCATGGATTGCGAATTTGTCTTGTTAATGAGAGCTAACTAATAATTCTAATCTCATAGATTTTCTTTTGAAAATTATAAAACGATGTTTTACACATAGTGTTAAACAAAAATGGACTATACAGCATCAATTTATATAAAACATTTGAAATAGTATATATTATCAATTATTTATTGAAATAAAATTAAAACCAGTTGGGAATGGTAAGCGTAATATTTGCTCTTATTAAAATTGCAATTAACATTTTAAAAAGGGTAGAGAATAAAATATAGAATTTACATATGTTGATATGACCCCAAAAGTGATATTTCTTTCTCTGTGATCGGGCGGACCAGGAGCGGGCATGGAAGCTAAAGTCCCTGGCCGTGTATAAATAAGTAACCTGATCCCAGCAACACGCTGCCTGACAGGGGCCCAAAAACGGCACACAGCCTCGGTTTGGATGGTTCGGGATTGGGATGGGATGGGATGGGATGCGATGTGGTCCCAAGACCCAGGTCCCATCGCATCGCACCGCATCGGATAGGATGGGATGGGATCGGATCGGAGAAAAGCGGAACCCGTTTGGAGCTTCTGCAGCAGCAGCGTCTTGCGGCATTTTGATTTATAGGCGATTTATGCACTTGGCTGCCGCGGTGGGAGTGGAAATGGAAATGGAAATGGAAGTGGAGTGGAGTGGAGTGGAGTGGAGTGGCCGTTAAAGTGGAAGTGGGAGACGTCTTGACCGAATTCATGAGCGGACAGCTGGCCAGGGTTTATTACATATTACATAGTGCATATCATATCATATCATATCATATCATAAGGTAAGCCTCGACAGGCACGGGAATTTCGGTATTATCGTATGCGCTGGGCGCACTCACAATGTTCTCGGTTGGAAAGCATTTGAATTCTTGTTTTGGCGAATACGAGTTAGTAAGGCACCGCTCATTTTATCATCCTATCATCTTATCACGGCCGCCGCTTATCTCAGTATCTCTGAATCACCGGCAGCGATCACCACTAGGTGCTGGCACTGGGTGCCCTGTTGGCGAAGAACCACATCAGGCCCATGAGGCAGCTGGGCGGGCTGTTGTTCACCGCTCCCTGCTGGATCATGCGCTTCGCCTCCTCCAGGGACAGCTCCACCACCTCGATGATCTCGTCCTCCACGCCGCCGCCACTGGTGGCCTTGTCCGCATCGGTCACCTCGCAGTAGTACATGATTTGCTTGGCACCCGATGAGCCAACACCAGATCTGTAAGAATTAGTGGCAATAATAAAGAGTTATTAGGGGATAAGATATAGATACTATATATAGCATAACAAATAAAACCTACATTAAGTAAATAGTTATAGTTCACCCTTTTTTATTGTTAGTCTACCTAATCTTGCTTTAATGCTGATAGGTGCTATCTTAAATTAAACTTATTTTCAGTTAACGATTAATTTTAGTAACTTCTTCGATAGTACATGTTTTAATAAAAAATTATAGGTTTCTTAAACCAAAAAATGTTTACCTAACTAACAATTTATTAGCGTTTGGTCTGCTGTTAAGGAGGTAGTGGAAAAATCAATTAACTAGCTGCAAACAATTCACTGCTAAGACTTTATTAGTAAAGTGTTAGAAATGTCATAGGAATTCAGTTTTAGTATTTTACAGCCCTAAATAATATAACCTTGAAAAATAATTATTGAAACACAAAATTGGCTAAACAGGTATAAAGTTATCAATAGTATTTTTTAAGTTTTTCAATTCTCGGATGTATGGTAACCAATCTGAACCCACACCCACTCACCGGTAGACCATGACCTCCTCGATGCGTACCACTGGGACGTCGTAGCCACACTCCTCCAGCACCTCCTCGCGGGCGATCTCCACCCAGCTCTTGGACTTGTCCACGATCCCGGCACACAGCTCCAAGGTGACCCCGATGGCGGGCGGGTACTCCTCGAGGTTCACCTTATCGAAGTTGCCCTGTGCACTGGAGATGATCCCGTGGTAGACGGCGGGTCGGAACTGGCGGACCAGCACCAGCTTCTGGCGCGTCGTGTTGTACAGTATGATGGCTACGCTGTCGTGGACCTTCAGCAGATCCCAGTTCTTCTCCACGCCATTCTGGACGTAGTACAGCCGGAATGGCTTCACATAGGGCGAGTCCGCGGGCAGGGGTCCCAGCCAGATCTTGGATACGTTTTCCATGCTGAAAAGTCGTCGTGGGGCACTGACAACAGCTGACTGGGAAAGCTCCAGCCGGCGATGGGGAACCAGAATCAGGTGGTAGCTTTTGTTGTCAATGAAGCTTTTTTGACATTTTTAGCCATTCAGACAACGGTCACACATTTCGAATTCGAAAAGTTCGTTATAAGTTACTATTGACTTGCTCGTGAGATCAGCATTTGTTTTAAATACCTTTTACATAAATGATATCTTTTAATAAAAGCCAAAATAGAAACAATAAAAGTTTTACTTTGGCTGAAAATCTGATTATCTTAGTTTACATAAATTGAAATTGATATACAGTTTGTCATTGATGCTTGAAAATCCAAACAACTACGTTTTGTGGGTCGCTACACTTTGTTTAATATTTCAAACTGATTGTTCTGCTCCAAAAAAATGATATTTTTATTTTAATTCAATACTGTTGTACTTAGGCAAATATAAATCAAATTTATTCCATATTTATTTTGGTAAAAAAAAACTTCCCAAAAGCATTGTAAAAAAATTAACATTTTAATAAAATAATCACAATAAAAGAAACCACTAAGTTTAAGTCTTGGGAGCCTTGTTAAGAAAAAACCAGAGTAATCCCATTAGACAGGATGGTCCGCCGTTTGAGATGGCTCCTGCCTGGACCAGCTGCCTTGACTCCTCCACAGACAGCTCCACCACCTGGATTTCCTCGGTTTCCACGCCACCACCTTCCGAGACTTTCAGACCATCGTTTACCTCGCAGTAAAACAAAGTCATGGCACTGCTAGAGGTTCCAATACCCGATCTGTAATCTAATACACGCTCCAGGGATTCCGTAGGCACCTCATAGCCACACTCCTCCAGCACTTCCTCCTTGGCGATTTCCGCCACGCTTTTGTCCTTGTCAACGGCTCCACCGCAAAGTTCCAGAGTAACTCCTATTTCAGGGGGAAACTTCTCCAGATCAGCGTCTCCCTTGGACATTTCTACATTTCGACCAGAATAAATTCCCTGGTAAACCGCTCCCCTGAACTGACGCACAAATATCAGTTTGTCCCGCGATCGGTTGAACAATATCACTACCACACCATCCATAGTTTTTATAATGTCCGTATGTTTTTCTACATCATTTTCAATATAGTGTAGGCGTCCTGGTTTAATCCAATTAGAGTCATTGGGTAGAGGCCCAAACCAAATCCGCGATATACAGCTCGAGGAATTATTAAGCCCCATTTTGACAGTCGAACTCGAACTCCAGAAACGACGCAGACCGCCAAGGATTTTAAACATGTTTTGTAATTCTGAAAAACATTTTGAAAAGTATTTTAGAACGATATTTCAAGGGTATATGTAATTTTTCATTTTTACAACTTACAATTATAAACAATATAAGTGGGTTCTTAAATCAATAAAATATTTGTATACCCTTGCAGAGGGTATTATAAATTCAGTCAGAAGTTTGCAACTCAGTGAAGGAGACATCTCCGACCCTATAAAGTATATATATTCTTGATCAGCATCACAAGGAGAGTTGATCTAGCCATGTCCGTCCGTTTCTACGCAAACTACTCTATCAGTTTTAAAGCTATCTGCATGAAACTTTCCCAAAAGTTGTCTTTCTATTGCAGGTAGTATATAAGTCGGAACGAGCCGGATCGGACGACTATAGCATATAGCTCCCATAGGAACAATCGGAAAAATAAATGAAAAAAATTATAACTTTGCTGTTTTTTAATTTTTTGTTTAGTTCTTCGACATATAGCAATGGTTAAATATTTCAGAATTATGGTAAAAATTTCATCAAAATCGGACGACTATAGCATATAGCTCCCATGAGAACAATCGGAAAAATATTATAACTTTGGTGTTTTTTAATTTTTTTGTTACTTCTTCGAGATTTAGTAATGGTTAAATATTTCAGAGTTACGGTTTAAATTTCATCAAAATCGGACGACTATAGCATATAGCTCCCATAGGAACAATCGTATAGCTGCCATAGGAACTATCGAATAATTAAGCTGCAAATCATCATAAATCATCATCATAAATCCTATCTTTAACGTTTTCAAGAGTATTTAGTTTTTGAAATAACTGCAAGGGTATATGAACTTTGGATTGCCGAAGTTTGTTTGCTTTGTTGTTATAAATTGTTGTTTGCGTCCTTGTTCTACTGTTCTACTTTCTTGAAAATTACATTTTATACAAATGATTTTTTTAAGTTTACATTTTAATTCAACATTTTAGCTCGTTGTAAAGGATTTCCTTTTGCCTTGTATTTTAAAAATAAACTTATTTAAGTATATACTCCAGAAACTTATGAAAGTATATATATCTTAGTCAATAAAAAATAACAAATTTTTAAAAAGTATAAATATTTTCCAGTGTGACCACAGCTCATATAGTATATTTAAGAGCTGAACGACTGCTTATTTTTATTGCGCAAGCTGGTCACACCACCACACATTTTCACATCAAAATTTCGGGACGAAAGTCGGTGCGTAAAGCCATAATAGCCCATTTAAGTTAGATAATAGCTCTTAAAGCCCCGGAATCCCGCATTTGCAGCTGGATACGAAACCGATAGCCCCCTAGGAAAGCGAACCACAAGACAACGATGCTCCGATCCCGACTCATCCAGGCGGCCAGCTCCGCCCAGCGAGCGTTCTCCACCAGCCAGAAGGCGCTGGCGGCCAAGCAGATGACCGTGCGGGATGCATTGAACAGTGCCCTGGACGAGGAGTTGGCCCGCGACGACCGGGTCTTCATCCTGGGCGAGGAGGTGGCCCAGTACGATGGTGCCTACAAGGTGAGACTACGCGGCGGTACCATTTTTCCCGTCCCCTGATTACGTAAACACCAGCAGGCGGTTGTCTGCGATGACAGCTGATGCAGGCGGACAGAATGAGGGAAAATCGGGGGAGTGCGGCGGTATATGCGTGCTATATGTAACTACTGATAATGATTCGGAATAGGACAGTGTATGAATTGTGAATGCGTGATCGAAACTCACAAGGTCACGCAGAATGTGTGTGTCTGTCTGCTGATAATAAGTGAATTGTCCCATAAAATCACGATTTGTTTACCCTTCTGTAGGCGGTTTAGATGCCGGCATATATTTATAGCAAATTTGACTCATTAATGGATACATTTTCGTAACAATATGAAAGCTATTCGTTTTCTCTTTAGAATTAAATGGCGAAAATAACACAATAAGTGTGAGGCGCATTTTTAAATTGTATTTGTATCTGAAAATATTGAAATTTTTATAACTGTAATGTTCTCAAAAAACGTTTATGTTTCACTTATTTCATCTGATTAATAATTTCCTGTAAAATTCCTGTATATTCCTGTATACAAGTAATACAAAATACCTTTTATTAATCATGAGTTGTCAAAATAGTTTTTACATCCTTAGGGACATTACACCTATAATTAACAAAAGAGGAAAATATGCAGATCACGTCCGCCTCCATGATTAGCTAATAAAGCTAATATAAAAACCATACCATTCAACACCGAATTTAATTTGCTCCCTTTCCGTTTCAGGTCTCCCGCGGTCTGTGGAAGAAATACGGCGACAAGCGCGTCATCGACACGCCAATCACAGAGATGGGCTTCGCCGGCATCGCCGTTGGAGCCGCCATGGCCGGTCTGCGTCCCGTGTGCGAGTTCATGACCTGGAACTTTTCCATGCAGGCCATCGATCACGTGAGTGCCTTCATCCTCTTCCTCAGAACACCACTTCCCGCACTCCAGCAGTAGGCTAACCACTCATATTATCTCATTGCCAAAGAAAAAAGTGAGAAAGTACACGAATATCCAATCCAAATGACCCGAAACTCCACTAGCTAGTTAACAGACCAATTCAAGTGCAAGAACGGATCGCGGCGCTTAATGGGATAATATGGGTGGATTAGCTGCTGCCCCCAGAAATAGATCGGACCTCACTAATCCCCACCCATATTATCCGATTATGTGCAGGCAAAGATCCTTAATAATGTTAGACCGCCGGTCGGGGATCGCCCGCTGCCCCTGAACCACATTATCGAGAGTCCTCGTTCCACCTGGCTCAACGAGATCAACGACATCCTGCACAGAGACCGTGTGGGCGAGGTGATTGCCCCGCCGCTGGACAAGAGCAAGCCGGACAAGATGGAGGCGGCTCGCCTCATCGTCATCCGGCGGCGCAAGATGAAGAAGCACAAGCTAAAGAAGCTGCGCCGCAAGATGAAGTTCGAGTGGGCCAAGGTGCGCCAACGCCGCGAGATGCGCAAGGAGAAGGCCTTCCAGGGCAAGCTGATGGCCCAGATCAAGCAGGCGGAGTCGTTCAGCGCAGAGCAGCACGTGGCCGAGATCCTGAGGCAGGCCAATGAGACACCATTGCCGCGGTTCTGGAAAGGACGGCGCCTGCCAGCATTTATCATTAAGCAGAAACTAGGCATTAAGTGAAGATCGAGACGGAAGTAGAGCGGAGATAAAAAATAAAGTGCGACTTGTATTAACTTGGATTGGGGAATCGACTTGAATTAGCAGGAACTAACTTAACAGATCTGTTACTGATTTTAGAAAAAGTCATTATACCTATCATCATGTGGTTCCTATCAATAAGATAAGATCATTTTTATCTTCATAGCAATGACACATTATTTTATAATCCCTGAAATTAGATCATCAATGGATAGGCAATTAGATCATTTACCCATCATCATATGTTTCCTATTAACAAGATCATTTATTTATAATTTTTATCTTCATAACAATGAAACTTTATTTTATTATCCCCGAAATTAGATTATCAACTCGGCAGCCAAGACATTTTACATGTCCGCCGGTGCTGTGAACGTGCCCATTGTGTTTCGTGGTCCCAATGGAGCTGCATCCGGAGTGGCCGCCCAGCACTCGCAGTGCTTCGCCGCCTGGTACGCCCACTGCCCCGGCCTGAAGGTCATCTCGCCCTACGACTCCGAGGATGCCCGTGGCCTGCTGAAGGCCGCCATCCGTGATCCCGACCCGGTGGTGTTCCTGGAAAACGAGCTGGTCTACGGCACCGCTTTCCCCGTAGCCGACAACGTGACCGACAAGGACTTCGTGTTGCCCATCGGCAAGGCGAAGATCATGCGGCCAGGCAAGGACATCACCATTGTGGCGCATTCCAAGGCGGTGGAGACATCGCTGCTGGCAGCCGCCGAGCTGGCCAAGAAGGGTAGGACCTCCAGTTGCTTTAAATGACTTTGAAAGCTAATCTTTTGTTTTTGTTTTTTTTTTTTAACCAATCAGGCATTGAAGCCGAGGTGATCAACCTGCGCTCCATTCGTCCCCTGGACGCCGCGACCATCTTCGCTTCCGTTCGAAAGACCCACCACCTGATCACCGTGGAGAACGGCTGGCCCCAGCATGGTAAGTGATCATAAAATATCAATTGAAATATTGGTCATAAAAATGATAAGTTATAAGGTTGTCAAATGATATCTTTACTTAAACTCACTTAAGGATTCATTCTTGGTATCTCCCATTGACTATTCTTTGTGAATAATTATACTATCCCAAATTTTGAGCTAACTTTTACGCAATTTTAATTTTGCTAAAAATATTTTATTTTTATAATTGTTGTTGTATATCCAAATTGAGATATTTTTTTTTAAATCCAAGTAATAAAAATGGACTAATAATTGTTTATTTACCTAAGATTTTTATAATTGTTATATATTTATTTCGCTGTCGTTTTTAATTTTGCAAATGACATTTCTTCTTGAAAAAATATAAATATATTTATTATAACATTATTTAATTTTGTATTCCAATAGGTGTTGGAGCTGAGATCTGTGCCCGCATAATGGAGGACCAGACCTTCTTTGAACTGGACGCCCCCGTCTGGCGCTGTGCCGGTGTGGATGTGCCCATGCCCTACGCCAAGACGCTGGAGGCGCACGCCCTGCCCCGCGTGCAGGATGTGGTGGATGCGACCCTTAAGGTTCTGGGCGGTAAGGCGGGCAAGGCCGTGGCCGCCGCCAAGTAGGAATCCTCTTCCGGAAAACGATCAGTACCCCAAACTAATTAAATTTATCGTTCTCGTCGAACCGCTGCCTCTGGTCTAACCGAGCTGCCCCCCAAAATTAGTGCACCGCACTGGAATCCAAAAACCGGAAATTGAATGTTTTGGAAATTAAACGGCACCGATAATGGGTTTTGTTTCTTTTTCGAACATTTTAGTTTAATTATTTGGTTATAGAAATCTCTTGTGAAAATAAACGAAAACATTTAAATACGCTAGTCATGTGTTTTAACTGTTTTATTTCGGTTAGAGGCGGAAGACATTTATATTGACTTACAAATATGAAACAATTAAATGGTATATTTTGAAAATTATTTTATTTACTGTTAATTTAATTTAATTTAATTTGATTTAAAATATAACTTTCTAAAGCTTTGATTAGAGAGCTTAAGTTCTTATCACTTGTGTTACAACTTTGAAATTTGCGCGCACTGCTGGTGCAGCCCTGGAAACCCCCGCTATCCAGCACTGCCCCTCACCCACACTCCTCCGAGCGCTGCCCAACACTGACGACATCTACGCAGAGGAAAAAGTTGAAATCTAGGGAAACAATAACAATAGATATAAACGCAATGCTCTGTCTGTAATGGCCAGTAGCTCCAGCTCCGATGAAAGCTGCAAGGCGCCCGATAACTTCCGCATCTCGACTGCCTCCACGAACTGCGAGGACGAGGAGGCCAGCGATGTCGCAGGATACACAACAAAGCGCAGACCATTGGCCAAGGAGCTGCTGCTTGTGAAGGATGCGAGCGCCAAGGATGCAGGCGTCACCGCGGGACTGGCTGCTCATCATATGCGGTGCCCGCTGTGCCACAGCTGCAGCGCCAGCCGATTCCACTGTCGCAATTGCGTCAGAAACGGAAACATTACTCACAGTCAGGCGGAAAGGCCCGAAAGGTTTGCTACCAACCACCGACCACCTTATCGGAAAAGCACATGTAATCTGGATCGATCTTTCTGCATTTCAGTCTGACGGAGAAGCAGCAGCGCTATATCAACCTGCAGGCGGGGCTGAAAACCTTCAGCACGCGCTATGAACGCCTCATCGAGCAGCACCGCTCCAACGAGGATCGCCTGATGGCCATCAAGGCGAAGCGGAAGCAGCTGGAGCTGCTGCAGCAACTAATCACAGGATCGGGCCAGAGATTGCGCGTCCTCGGCGAACGGCGCGATGAACTGCGTCGGGCCAATGCCGAGAAGCGAAAGAACCTGCCCAAATACCCGGACAAGGTTAAAATGCTCGAGGATTACGTGCTGGACAGAGTGGAGAAGATAGAGAAACTCAAGGAGACCCATCTGGGATTGCTGGACAGCATCAAGCAGGCAGCGCGGCGAGGCATCCAGCAACTGGTCACCTTTGTGTTCCCCATTGCCGAGGTGGTCCTCAAGGAGGAACAGCAGCGCAGGGCCAGCGTGGAGCGCAGCGAGGAGGCGGAAACCATAGCGGCACTGGCCGATGCCAAGAACACCTCGTACATACGCGGCAAATGGGTTTTCCATGGCAGCGGGATCAGTGAGGTCCAGTACAGGATAGTGGGTCCTTCGCTTCCCGCCAACGGCGACTATACCGCCTACCTAGACTGGCTGGCAGACAACAAGGACGACGTTCCGAAGGCTACGGCCAACGAGATTACGCCCAGTCGATTCGAGGCCTACCGCATCGTGGGCGCTCTCACCTACACGGCGCAGCTGACGCAGTTGCTCAGCTTCTACCTGAACGTGCGGCTGCCGCACAAAATCGCCTACGGAGACTTCTGTCGCAAGCTGCTCAACGAGGAACAGTTCCGACGCAAGATATCGCGGCTGAACTCCAACATCATGTATCTGGCCTACACGCAGCAGGTCAAGTTGCGCGCCCTCAACGAGCATCATACACTGGAGAACTTGCTGGCCATCCTGGATCTGGAGCGCAGTGACCTGGGACGTTTCGGACATCTGGACGTCACGAATGCCCCGCTTATGAAGTCCGTGGATTCCCTACTAATCGGCATCGAAACGGCCACGGAATCAGAGTCAGAGGGTGAGTTGGTCTAACATAAACATAAAGAGAAATACGATCTAACAACCTCCTCTCGTGCTATTCCAGATGAGAACTCCCTGCGCATGGACTGGGAAGCGGTACCCAGTGTCACTCCGCAGCCAGAGCTGGCGGATCCCAGCCTGATGCCAGCGGCCAATCAGCAATCCACCATCGCCTTCGTGCGCATGGCGGCCACGTCGGTTCTGCGCTGGATCAAGTGAGTCGCAGCGCAATCCCCCGATCCTCCGGCGATATCATCATCAGGCAGGTGTGTTATCTTTTACAAATTAGGCTAAGCTATCGTTTCTGTGACAGCGTGCCGGAGTTTGTCGGCAGTCGCTGATTTTAGCGTTATCTTTTGGTTTACAGAACTAATTTTGTATCGATTCTATATACATTTATCTGCTGTGTGTAAAGAAGGAGCGCCTCTGATTTACTTTTATTACATAACTTATTCGCCTTTATTTAATAAACATGGTTCTCTATAAATAAATATATATAAAAATTTGCTTTATTAATGTTTGCAAAGTACACTGACTTAGTAGGTAAACGACTCAATGAGAAAACAAAAATGAAACTGGTGCAAAATGATTGGAAGGCAGACACAGCTGCGAATGAAACCTACCTAGAACCAGCCCTAAAATCTTAGATTAGAATCGCAGGGGAGCGAGCTGAGTGACCCTAGCTAAATGAACTTTGTGGGCAGTTGTTGCGTGGGCGGGTGAGCAGCTCCAGCAGTGGTGGTCATTAGCTCGTCGGCAGCGCTGGTTTGCGGCAGGCTGGGCTTAACAAATACTTGTGGCAGTGTGTTGGCAGGAGCTCCCACCTGGGCGGCCGACACGGACACGGATCCGTTTGCCAGCAGGTCGTAGCGCGGTGAGGCGTGGCTCATCGTCGAGAGAACTATGGCGGCGGCCATCGCCTCTGGGTTGTAGAAGGCCGTCACAGCAGCCGGCATGGGCTGCTGTGCGACCGCACCCGATTGTCATTGACGCGAGGGCGTACTCGGTGCGGAGGATCCCATTCCGCCGCTTGATCCCTTGACGGCGCTGGGCGAGAAGGCCGAATGAATCTGCTTCTCGAACTCCTTCAGATTCTTCATTATGTGCGCTTTGGAGGTGAGATCATACACGGGTCCCATGGCTCTGGAGTTGTTGTAGATGTACATGTTATTGGCGTTGAAGCCCAGGGATCCATTGACCTGGCCCACGGCTCCCAACGAGGATCTTCCTTTGTTCTGAGTCTTGTTCTTGGGTTTCGGCAGGACTTTTCGTTGGGGCTTTGAGGCAGGGAAAACGCCCACGATCTCCACGCCATCCGACTCGCTGCTGCTGCTCTCCCTGGCAACCGGCGTAGTCTGGGCGGCCTTGGAGGTGGATGTAATGACGGATGTGGTGGCAGCCAGCTGCTTGGACGTCTGTAGTATTTCGCTGGTACATTGGTAGTCATCCAAATTGATTACATGCGGCGAGGGCCGCGCTCCCACGATCACCTTGGCCTGGCAGTCATTGGGATGTGGACTGGGGTTCCCGCTGGCCGCCAAGGTGGCCGCTGTTATCAGATTATAGAAGTTGCTACTGCTGTTAAGGTCCATTTTCCGGCTGGGTGATGCCAGGTCAAGAACCGTACTGGCGGCTGCCACGGCAGCAGCATTCAGGGCTGCTGCCTGGGCCGAGGTGCTTGGCATGGACAGCAGTGTATCCAGGTGGGGCAGGTGGTTGTGGTTGTTGTTGTGGTTGTTGTTGTTGTTGTTGCTAATGACTGGCACACTGACCGCCGCCGTGGCAGCCGGCGCCAGCTGGAATTGCGGCTGTTGTGGTAACTGCTTGGCCACCTTCTTCTTTGGCGGCTTGTTGCTCTGCTTGGGCACATCCGCAAGCTTGCGCTTCAGACTGTTGGAGGAGGCACTTGTAGCTGAGTCCGTGTCTGAGTTGCCCCGAGATCGGGGCTCCTCCACTGGCTTCAGGTAGCCGCTTGCCTGAGGCAATTGCTCGGGGGCAGGAACAGGTGCAACGGACTTGGGCGATGCAGACACTGTCGGCGCCTTTGACTTCTCCTTGGCCTTGAGTCTGGCGTTCTTATATCGCGTTATTTCCCGCTGCAGCTCATCCAGGCGCATCCAGCCGGACGGCCAGATATCCACCACCTTTTCCTTGAGATATACGTTGATGAACTCCTCCAGCGAGTCCTTGCGCTTCGCCAAAAAGGGGAAGGATGTCCAGCGCGCCTGGTAAACATCGTACAGCGCCTGGCGCAAGTCACTGGTCCACTGGAACTTCTTGCGTGGCATCTTCGGTGGCAATTCCGCATTCACGTCCGCCGCTCTGAAATGATTAAGAAAAAATCAATTAAAATATCCACTTATTCCATTCTGTATCTTACGCCTGTTCCGCAAAAGTGCGTAGTTCCGTCTCATAGTTGGCTATCGCTTTGGGCATGACCACAGCTACAGCTCGCCGCAGTTTCTCCACCATAATGGTGGACTTATTCTTCTCCTCCTTGGCGCGCACTTGCTTACCCTTGCGCAGCATGTAGTACTTGGGCAGTTGCAACTGGTATTCGATGTGGGAAAATACCATGTTACGCTCGTTGCGATCAGTGCACAGCACCGCCTCGTAGACCCTGGTTGAGAATAAGGGATTACAGGTCTATAAATTTATTATAACAGGGGGAAACTCACCGGAGCAGCAGGGGCGTGAGCTTGGCATCCAGGTGGAACTTCTTGCCGCACATGTCTCGACTCCTAACATCTTCTTTGAAGTTGCTGACTGCGGTCATAATATCCGCATCCAGCGTGGCGGGCAGCACAGTGTCGGCGGTACGTAGATCTTGAAGATAGCAAAGTTAAATATAATAAATGGTGAGCCATGACAATATAATCAAATGGAAGTGACTAATCTTCTACCATATATTCTGAATAAATCTCCGAAATAGTTCATTAGTTTTCTTATTAGTAACTCACTTTCCTGACCCTCCTTGCCTTGTTGGCCGCCCAGTTTGTCTATCCTGCCCTGCTCCGTGGCCGATTCCATGTCGCTGCTGTCACTGCTGGACATGTCCGTGGAGATGCACTTCAGCTCGCCGTTGACGACGCCCTTGACAGCTGCCGTGCCGCTTTGCGACTTGAGGAAGCTGTCCCGCTTGGCCTTCAGCATGTCCTTAACCGTAGTCGTTTTAACCACCTTCTTCAAGGCTTGAGCCTGGGCCTGAGCTTGAGTCTGGGGCTGGGGCAGGGCTGGAAACTGGTTTTGTGGCTGTGGCTGAATCTGAATCTGGGACTGCACCGGGCCTGGCCGTTCTTCCGTATCTGAAATCTCCACAATAGAAGGCCGTGGCGAATTCGAGGATGAGGAGGTGGTGATCGGCTTAGCAGGTGGCTTCTTGCCGCCTGCCGAAGAACTGGAGCTTGGCTTGGACTTGCTCGTAACGATGACTTTCGGCCGCTTGGCCAGATGATTGTCTTTGTACTTGCTGCTGGATTTTGCCGTGGCAGCAGAGTCCTCGTCCTCAAGGCTTTCGCTTTCGGAATCGTCCTCGGAATCGCTTTCGTCCTCCTCATCATCGTCGTCCGAATCGCTTTCCTCCTCCTCTTCGTTGTTGTCATCATCGTTTTCATCGTCATCGTCGGATGACGAAGATGAGCTATCCGAGCTGGTCGAGACCAAGCGCTTGCGCGATCGCTCCGGCATTTTGATGATGGCATCCGTTCGTGTGGTGTAGGACTTTTTGGCGAGGTTCTTGAACTCTAGGGCGCCGCAGTTGATGTAGAAACCGCCTTCAAGGGTCTCCGCCTCCTCCGGGATGATCTCGTCGTACTAAAAAGGAGAGACGAGTCAAAAGTAGAAGGTAAACTATTTTTGTGAAGGTCTTAAAATCATAAAAGATTTTGTGATTGTACACATAGTAAGCATGAAGCAATATGCCTCATATATTTTTCAATTTTCGTTAGGTATTGCCAATCCACTGATTTTAATTTAAAAGTGAAAAAAATGGTCATATATTTTTATTGCGTATTTATTAGAACTAGGTCAACACTGCGAGTACTATCATCAAAATTAGGTCAGAAAACAATAGTAAATACGAATTATACTTACAGCATCCGTGTTGTCGATGAAGGAGTCGGACTCATCGTAGCCCATTCCAATATCCCGGTAGTCGTCCTTTTTGCTCTTGCCCCTGCCAGTGGCATAGGAGTTGCCATACTTGGCCTCCAGCTCCTTGACGATCCGTGCCACATCGTCATCGTTGTCGGCAAAGGGATCTGCGCCGGCGGAACCGTTGCATGTGGTCACCTGCTTAAGCTTTTTGGCCTTTTTCTGTGGGTTTGGGTAGTTAAGATCGAGTTTCCTCTTCGGATTCAATAACTCACCTTCTCCAAGTACACAAGCCGGGTGTAGTTAAACTCGGGGTACTTGTTCGAATCAGTCTCGAAAAGATCGAGCTTGATGCGTATGCACTTGGCGGGTTTGCTCGGGGGTTTGGCGGTGTTAGTGGATCCGGCGGATAGAGGGACATCTGGCTCCAGGATGTTGCTACCAAAACGCGAGAAGCCCGCATCGCCCTGGATGATCGAGGTGAGGGTGACACGCTTGTGTTCGCCCACCCTCGACATTTCCGGCGGGCAGAGTTACGGATTATTATTGGGTTTATTCGAAGCGAAGGGCCTTCCCGCCCTTTTTTTTATAAAGAGCCGCGTGTTCTGCTTTGCTCTCTCCCTCCGTCTCTCTCTCTTGCTGCCAAACAAAAACAACAGAGAAGTTGACGTCGGTGCTCCTCCTCCTTCTGCCAACTCTTCTTCTTCTTCTGGGGATGTCTGTTTTAGGTTTTTTGCACGTACACCAAGCAACCACTAAATAACCGTGGCAATTTCACTTTTAACTGCACTAAGTTGGCCCACAAATACTGTTTATCAACATAAACAAATAGAGGACCTGCGCCGATTGCACTTAATTTCGTCACTCTTTATCTGCCCGCTTTGCAGCTGCATCCGCCTACCACGGCCACGAATAATTGTCACTTTTCTGGGGGAAAGAAAAAGTGGAAACTTTTTTTGGGGGGGTTTCCGAATTGCTGAGCTCTGCCGGCACGAAAACAACACAATCTTTATCGGCAGGACACCGGGGACTTCACACACTCGATCGACGCGATCAACGAGGACATTTGGACAATTAGGCGCTTGGCTTTTCGCACGGCCAAAAGCGCGATTCTTAAATTGTTTCTTATTAAAATCCGTCCTCAACGCTACATTCTCTCCGCTCCACCCCTCTCCAACGATCCGACCCTGCTTTTGGCTTTCGCAGCCACGTTGCTTAGCACTGGTCGCGGTTTTCGCAAATTATACGGAGACGTTCACACTAAGCGCAGTAAAAGCAGTCACTTGGTGCTGTCTGCTGCAACAATTCAACAACAACAATGCAACAAAAACCACATTATTATTTTATATCTTCATACTCTGCGGAAATTGTCCGGTGTGGAATTCTTACCGTTCAATATAGTATTTCAACACCAAATTTGTAAATTAAATAAAAACTAAATTGCTTAACTCACTCTGGATGTTGCTTTGAACTCTCATAAGAGAATAACTGTACTACCAAGTTGTTGGATAAGTCTTACAACGAAGTCCTTGTTAATATGATCGTGAATTAATTTATGAAATGGGCTTTAAATAAATTTTGGAACTTAAGATATTGTATTTGAGTCATGTTCAAATTTATTTTGTTGTCTCATAATAAAAGTACTTTTTATAAGGAGGTTAGATGTCTACACAACAGTCTTAAGTAAATATGCATAACAAGAATTCATGCAAAACAAAGTGATATTACATTCAAAATTGAAATCAAATAAAGAATAGTCTGCAACTATAAAACGAAGTAGGACAATATGAAAATCCGATAATATTGTTTTCTTTATTTTTATAGCCGCGAAACTGTATTTACTGCATTAATCCTATGCCCACAAGAAATTGATTAAAAGGTTTGAGAAAATTTGAGAATGTTTGAAGTACTGTATTTCAATCAAAATTAAGTGTTTTATTTTTTGTACTTGATTTTGCTGTCACAATTTTAAAAACTATTTCTACCTAGTAAAGCTGTTTCTTTTATATAAATTTGTTTTTGGTTAATGCACTGGTGTTTCGTCAGTGCAAACGCCGTATAATTTGCAGAAATCTGCAAACTTTCCGAAAACTAGCCACATCTAGCTCGAAAGCCGCCAGCAATCAGCACCAGCTGCAATGCATCCCTGTGCAGTGCGCATACATTTTAGGTTTGTTTTGACCAAATCGCGACTCTGTGCAACACTGATCGGCACAGCTGCTCGAAATTTGGGGGCCGCGGTGGGGGGCTATTATTTTTGGGGCGATTCAGTATTATTTCGTTTGTGGAGCTGTTTACTTCTCTGCGGGGAAATCGAGTGCCCGCCGTTTAATTAACGTAAGTGCAAGTGAGTCGGAGTACGTGAGCTGGGGGGTGCTATGCGCCTGCCTGGCCCAGCAAAAAAAGAGTTTGCATGCACAGAAATTCGGTCGAAACTGCAAGCTGTTATTATAACGGGAATGGCCAGTGCTCGTTATCGGGTGAAAACGATTAGGATTGTGCAATTAACAAAAGTGTGCCGTGCTTCTCTTTTCTTTTTTTACAACACAATCCCCAAGTGGTACACACTCATACAGTAACACTTATGCTGCTTTTATGCTTACAGCCCCCACTTTAAGGTTTTATATATATATATATATGTATATATTTATCCAATCCAACGAGTGCAAGTGACCGACGTCCAAAGAGCAACGTACGGAGCTCTGACAAAGGCTTCCCGCTTTTAGTGGTCCGGTGACTTTCGCCGGAGAAGCAACTCCGTCCCAGGAATCGAGCTCAACAAAAGACCCCCACCCACACGAAAAGGGTCATGAGACAATAAAGGAACATAGAGAAATAAAATTGCAAGCGAAGAGAAGAGTGGAGCTCCTTTGTCGCATCTCTGGCTCTGAAAACGCAGGTGAGTAATACCCATTTCCCATTAGTTTATTACTGGTGCCTTGTAGTTCGAAAACTACAAGGGGAAATCGTTCAAATAAGATACAAGAGACTACCATTATGCGATAAGAACTGGTAGTGCTTTCTTTTATCTAAGGTGACGTAGCCCAAGGCAACTACAGTGCACACTCTATACAGTGACAATCTTACGGTGTTTATAATATACATAGATAATGAGAATTCAAATTTTTTATTACCGAGGTTACAAAAATATTATATTTATTGATACAAAAAATGAACTCAACTTGACGATTTAAAAATACCAAAAAAATATATTCATCATTATTTATATTGTACAAAAGCAGGGTTTGGGCTTTTCTATATTATATTAATATAAAGAATGTTTATGTAAGAGAGGGATCACACTTCAGAGCGCCCACTGTATGAATGGTGAAATGATAAACTCCCAGACATTGAAATTCCCAAAACCTTATACCGAAATGGAGTTATGACAATCGACCTTGAAACATGTGGCCCGAACTGCCTTGCCAGCCAAAATTGGTTTTCAATTTTTCTATGAAAAGCAGTGTTTTTTTTTTTGGAAATTCATCCATTAAAGGCGGCAGCGGGTTTTCCATTTGAAATGGACAGAAGCCGCAAACAAAAATACAGCGATACACATAAACAAACAAATGGCAGCAACAAGTGAGCGCACGAAATTTAATTTGCTTTTAATGCGTCATTATTGCCAATTTGTGACATGTTCGAGCTGCTTTTCTGCTACGGTTTTTGCTCTTTTTTCGCATCCCCAACAGATTCGCACTGTTCACGATCGTTATCAGAGATCGGAGACAGGAAAGCTAAATTGATATTCATTTATACATATACACTTTTATAAACGATAACCTTTTATGGCAAGTGAGTTTATTTCTCATTGCTTTTTCATGACATCCATTCCTCATTACCTCAAGTAAATTAAATTAAAAAAAATATAAAGTTTAAACACAAGTATTATTGCAATTTGAAAAGCAATGGAGCTAACATATGTAAATAAACAAAGTAGTCACTGCAATGGGTTTTCAGTTATCTGGGAACCACACTTTTAAAGATTATACATTTCTTTAGAATTGATTAATGCGCTATGGAACAGCTTCGTCTCTTAGTTCATGATCGTAATAACCTAAGCTATTTATTTATTATCTTTTTTTCATACAATATACACAAAATAAATGACATAATATATAAAAGCCGAAAACAATGTGTGCACGTATGTGCATCCGTACATACAATTCACTTCTAAAAGGTCTACGAATTGTTAACTACGAACATTGTCTGAATTATATAAATGATTAATGCATTTGTTATACTGGTGTTCGCTAAAAATTTGTTCGACAAGAAAAGACAAAAAAAGATCAACTTATTTTGAAATTTTCCAATGACGAATTTTGATAAGAATGAGGAGATCATTGGCTGCACTTAGATAAGATCAAACCACATTTTATCACTGACATATTCATTTTCCAAGAATGTGTATTTTCCCCTTTTAACAATCGAGTACAAAGAGTTGAGCTGGTAGTTGCCCTTACCACCAACACGACCACCCAACCATACTTATATATTTGTGGTTCGTTTTTAAAACAATGACGCATCTACGGAAATAAATTACATGAACTATGCCTGACAGCACAGATTCTTTCCCTCGAGACGACAACCATCAATATCAGGGTTATATAAATCATTCGATTCTTCTTTGATTTTTTCAGTAAAGAGCGATGACGGAAAGTGTGGAGCTGATGAACAAGTACGGCGAACCACTGCGTTACGACCGGAACTTTACGGGACCGCGGCAGCGTGATCGCAGCTGCACGGATGTACCTTGCCTGCTGCTCTTCGTCCTCTTCCTGGCGGGATGGGGCTTTATTGCCCATTATGCCATCAAGACAGGCGATCTCAACAAACTTTTGGTGCCCACCGACTCCTTCAACCGGAAATGCGGCATGGATTCCGGAGTGCTGAACAAGGAGAACCTGTTCTTCTTCGACCTGAATCAGTGCATAGATCCAATCGTTCCCCTCACTGGATGTCCCACACCGCAGGTAAATTTTTTTAATTTTAAAACGCCTTACCCACTTTCATGCTTTTGAAAAAATTGGTTTAATTTCAAATTTAAAAAATAGACGGAAAATCATACATGACACATTTTTCATGTGATTTTAATACTACAAACTATTTCAACAGGTGTGTGTGGAGACCTGTCCAAGACAGACGTTTGTCTGGGACACGATGAAGGACAAACTCAGCTTCGCCGAGCTGCACAATCTCCTCATCTGCCTTACTGAGGAGCACAAGGCTCAGATTCGCAGCAAAGCGGACATTGAGAATGCCATTAAGGAGAACAAATGTGCCCGCTGGTACATCAAGAGTGCTCCATTCCTCAAGCGCTGCCTCTTCGAGTTTTCGCAGGGAGTATGTGATTACATTCCGTCGTTCCTGCTGCAAGGTGGAAGATCACGACGGGAGCTTCAACTGCTCCCAGGGAATGCCACCTCGGAAGCCCAACTCCAGGCCCAGGTGTTGGCCATTAGCATGGCGCAGGCCCAGGCTCTAGTTGTGCCTCAGGCCAATAACAAACAGGTGCCGGTGGAGGAGGAACCGATCATCCAGTGCAAACGCAGACTCAACGAGGCCGTCATCAAGGAGAAAATGATGCAGACGGACACGCGGCTAGCCAAGCTGGTGGGCAACATGGTGGCACACTTCTACAATGGGACCCACGACGCCCAGCGTTTGGGGGAGGAAATCGTCGAGGACCTGATCAACTCCTGGTCGGTCGTCCTGGTGGCCTGCTTCTGCACACTGGTCGCCTCACTGATTTACATAGCTCTGATGCGCTGGCTCTCAGCTCCGATTTTATGGTTCTCCATCTTCGGCGTACTGATCGGCCTCCTGGCGGCCATCTACTATACCGTCAAACAGTACATATTCTGGGAGAAGACTCCGACGGTGCCGATTCACGGCTTGAACCTGCATTCTACGGTTAAGAACGTGCTGCAGAACCAGAACACATGGCTCTATCTGTCCATCTTCGTGGGTGTGTGCTTCGTGGTTATCCTGCTGCTGGTGATTGTGCTGAGGAAGCGCATCCGGATAGCGATTGCCCTAACCAAGGAGGGAAGCAAGGCGGTGAGCAGTGTGATAAGCACCGTGTTCTTTCCCATCTTCTCCTGGATACTCTTCATAGCCGCTATTGCGTTTGCAATTGGCGTGGGATTGTATCTGGGCTCGATCGGAGATGACTCGTTTAGAATGGTGCGTCAGTTGACGGAAAACGGAGATGTGACCACCGAGGACTGCTTCTGCGAGGGACCAGCCATCAACTACACAGTTGGTGGAGCCTGTGTCCCGAAAGTGTTTCAGCAGAATTGCTTCGTTCGGCAGACAGTGTTTTTCCAGCCATCACAGCGCGTGGGCTGCTCGCAAACCACCTGCAGCTTTGACACGATTAACAACCCGCCTCTGATTAAGTGGGCCATCTTTTACAACGTCTTCGGATTCCTTTGGCTGAGCTTCTTCATCTCAGCCTTCAGCTACATGGTGCTGGCTTCCACGTTCGCCCGCTGGTACTGGACCTTTAAAAAGCGTGATGTTCCATACTTCACCCTCACAAGGGCGTTCTGCCAAACCGCTTTCTACCACTTGGGAACCATTGCCTTCGGTTCGCTAATCCTTGCCATCGTCCGACTGATCCGTCTGGTGCTCGAGTACATCCATGAGAAGCTAAAGAAGTATGACAATGCGGTGACACGGGCTATTCTGTGTTGCATGCGCTGCTTTTTCTGGCTGCTGGAGACCTTCCTCAAGTTCCTCAATCGGAATGCTTACATCATGTGCGCCATTCACGGCAAGAACTTCTGCAGCAGTGCCGCGGACTCGTTTAACCTGATTATGAGGAACTTCCTGCGCGTGGTGACGCTAGACCAGGTCACGGACTTTTTGTTCTTTTTGTCGAAACTGCTACTGACCGCGGGGGCGGGGGTGTCCACCTACTACTTCCTGGCCAATAATCCGGCCATTATTCAGCTACATTACAATGCGGTGCCCACCACGGTGGTCGTAATTGCCGCCTTCCTCATATCGAGCGTGTTCTTTGGTGTCTACTCGACGGCCGTGGACACACTGTTCCTGTGCTTCCTGGAGGACTGCGAGCGAAACGACGGCTCGCCGGAAAAGCCCTTCTTCATGTCCAAGCAGCTGATGAAGATCCTGGGCAAGAAGAACAACCTTCCACCGCGTCAGCGTCGCGGGAAGTAGGAGATTTCGACGGGAAACGGCAGTGCAAATTATAAATTAACTACTTACAAAATATATATATGTTTGTATTTAATCTAACCCGAAATCGAAAGGGTTGTGAGCGATTGCTCAACCGGCTGCAATAGGGTGTGCATAAAATGCAGACTTCTTTGCCAATACTCTTAATCTTTAATCTAATGTATATAATACGCCAGTATCCATATGTAAAAGTTTTTTGTGCGGCTAGACGTGCGATCGGACATGTGATAGGCGCGGACCATAAAGACCAAAAGCAATACAAAACAATACAATAATATGTATACAGACACACAAACGAACATATCTCACATTCATACAGCTTAGGTTAACGATAAACTTATATCATTTTGATTATAATTTTCGAATTTAATAAAAATGAATTTCATTGAAGTCATATTTTTCTCTTTTGATTTTAATTATATTTTACTTTCATCATTCAGCATTCTGAATTTCAAAAATATTTAGCAGTATAGTCATTTCGAGTGAAGCTCTTTTAATTACAGTTTTCATTTTCAACTATTGTTGTATTTTAAATTAAGCAATGCTCAAGACATTCATTTCAGAAAGTCTGATAATGCAAGAGAGTAAAGACCGGAGAAGCCGTAATAAAGAACAGTAGCTTTAAGATTTTATGACTTAAAAAAAAAGTGTGTAATAAAAATTAATACTGCCTCAAGTGTTCTTTATTTACAAAAAGCTCGCATACATTGAATCCAACTGGGAGTTAGTCTTCAGTAAAAAGCGACGTAGTTAGCTTGTCTACTTTTAGCTGTTTTCTTATATAAGCATACTTATGGGCCGAAAATAACAATACTACTTCTCGGCATAAGACCTTAATCTTTAATCTGAACTGCGTTTTAAATGCTCACACTTAAGAGCAAACAGTTGTGTTTTGGATCATCATTCTAGTTTAAGTTAAACAATCTAAAATCTTCGATACAATGTAAGTGTTTTATAGAAATTTAAATTTTAAATAATTTGCAGTTAGGATCTCAGATTCTTCTATTTTGGTTTTAGTAATTTGTAAAAATTTGTTTATTCGATTTACTATAAATACTATTTACAGCAAACAAGCTGATTTTCAAAGTCAGCTTCAGTCATTGTTCTTATTAAAAACACTTTATTTTTCTTGGAACTCATTAATCATTAAGAGTATAATTTATAAACAACAAAGGTTTCATGCTTTTTTTTAACATATAAGGCCAATAAGTTTATTTATTTACTTGAAACACTGATAAACAATTATGATTTATTCAAGCGCGATGGCGGAAAACGTGGAACGGATGAACAATTATGGCAAGTCATTCCGCTAAGACCGGAGTTTTACGGGACAACGACAATTTAATCGAAGTTGTACGGATGTGCTTCCTGCTTCCTAGCGAGATGGTGCTCCATCGCCTCAGCAAGCTTCCTTCTGGCCTATAATTCGAACCTTATTCAACTGCATTACAATGTGGTTCCCGCCACTTTGGTAGTACTTTCCTTCTTTCTCATACCCAAGCAATTAAAAAAGATCCTCCTGGGCAAGAGAAGGGTACTTCCTACCCAAAATCTTTGCCAATAAGATTATCTTTAATATGATGTTGTGAAGAAAATTTTTCAAATTTTATTCGGTGCTTAGCTATTTATCTCAAAAATTCAGATTTTGCAAGGGGATATTTAGCGGAGAAGCCGCAATATAAAATAATATATTTTATTTTACCAATTTTAGCGATCTTTGTTTGTCTTCGACTAGAAGATAATATCTTTAAGCACACTATCGCTGATGTTTTGCAGGTCATCATCATCACCTCCGATCTGATCGAAATCGAACTTATGCGAGACGTTTAGTGCATTTCGGTTGTTTTCCGTATTCAAGAACAGTGAGTCCTGCCAAATAAATGGTCAAATATTTTCTTAATGCAGAATTCTAGATCAACCTTTTGCAGATGAATTTATAAAGTTTATCACGCATAAGCGAAAAGTTTTAAACTATTTAAATTAAATTGTCTTAATTGTCTTAAGTATGTCTTAGGCGAATTAAAAATGCCGAATAACTAAGACATATACAATCTCACTTACATTGATGGTTCTGTCGTTGAGCTGAAGTCTAGGCGTATCCCCCTGGTGGGTGTCGGTGGAAGGTACCAAGGCGTCCAACCGTCCGGATGGCGAGGTGCTAAGGTTAAGGACATTCCGAGAGACCTCCATAACCTTCATCACCGCAGCGTTCATGGCGACCTGCGAGCTGTTGTTTTCGGAATTACGTGGAATACGTTCGATGCGTGTGCAATCGCTGACGCTTAAGGGCGTGAAAGGATCACTGGGATCGGCCGGTGAAGCCAGCGGGGAAATCACATTTGTTCCCGGCACTGGTGCCTCATCGAAACCGAAAGAGGCCTGCATTTCCTTCCACTTGCTGCCCAGAGCAGAAAGATTCGGCTGCGGCGCCGAAGTCTTGACCTTGGACGTGTTCTTGTGGATGGTGCGCAACATTTGCATGGGATCGTTGATCTTGGATCGGTTTAAGGTGCCATTGAGATCAGCTCCCGCCGACTGGTCAATGATTTTTAGCTTGCGCGCCGATCGTGGCGGAGCAGGTGCTGAAAAGAGAAGAGCATTAGGTTGGTGGTCAGCAAAAAGATCAAAAACTTATCCTTACCAAGTAAACTGTTGCTTAAAGCATCAAGCTGTTTGCCATTAAAGTCGTCCTGGAGGGCAAGACGCACTGGCGCGTTGCGGCCACTGCCGCCCGCCAAATCGATCTTAATGGGAGGAGTGGACACAAACTTGGAGGTGATAAGAGATTCAAAGCGAGGCGTGGCCGGCTCACTTAGCTGTCCTTGGGCGGAGGCACTTCCGTTGGCACTTCCCTTTTCTTTCTTGGACGGCTCATGCAGTTTCTTAAGCAAATCCTTGAGCTGGACTTCGGATTGAGTCAGTTCGTCGCGCATGGCCCGCAAATCAGTGGTGACGAACGCTGTGGACTCATTGTAGTGGTCGTTGGCATCCAGCTGCTCCGCAATTGTGCCGCTCACGTGATTGAAGGCGTCTACGAGGGCTTCCAACTTTGAACCGCCCAACTGGTCCAAGAAACCTGGAAGAAATGGAAATAATTATAGGGGACACCAGGTGCAAGAGAAGCTAAGGTATCCCACCATCTTCTGTGATTGGATCGCTGTCGAGTAACACTCGCATGCCCCGCAGGGCCTTGTCCACGGCCTCCTTGTTTTGATTGTGCTCCGCCTGCTTGGACTGGAACAGGTCTATGACCTCTTTGAGGCCGCACAGCGATTCCTCCAGATCTAATTTCCTTTCGGCGGGCTGAGTGAACATTCGCTCGACGCCTGATGAGACGTGGGCTTCGAATATGTCCAAAAAGTTATCGTCCACCAGTTGCTCCACGGGCACTCCCATGTCCGCAGATAGATTGGCCATTAGGTGATTGATCTTCTGGGTTTTGTGGCGCAGCAGGGCAGTATTCTCCTCCAGATTGACAATGTACGCTGAGGCATACTCCTTCATCACGGCATTTTGTCGGGACATGACCTTGGCACTTACATCCGGTGTTCCAGCGTCCTGTTTGCGCTGTTTGATCAGCTCCTGGATGACAAAGCTCACGAATTCCAGCATGAAGTTGATGAACCTTAGGCCACCGGGCATGACCACCAGATAGGATGTGATGTTGGCCCAGTGCAGCTGGTGTTTCTCATTGAGATGCTTCAGGTACTCCACTGTGCTTGATCGGAAGTTGGCCTCCGACTTCTTGTCCGTAATGGGCCAAAAGAAACGGCGCTTAAATTCGGCCGGATCCAGCATGCGGAAGAGGTAGTGCATCACGTGGACAAAGGCCACCTGGTTGGGTTTGAGAAACATGTCCCAGGCGATCAGTTTTCGCAACTCATCCGGCATAGGATGCACCAGGGCCAGTCCTTGCAACTTCCTGTGCAGCTTCTCGCTCTGCTCCTTTTCCTCGGCCTTCCTGGGCGCGATGGTTGTGCGATCCATATTTACGGTTCAATAAATATTAAATTCCTTCAATTACAGCAATGAGAAAGATGGCGGTTTTGTTTCAATTCTTTTTCCCTCGGCGTTTTTGATTGGTGCTGCGCAGTGTTACCAGGTGCTCAAAGTAAATTCACACCAAAAATATGTTTAAAATAAGCCACTCTCAATAAGTATAACTATCAACGTATTTTCTTTAAATAAAGATTCTGCTAATTTTTTTTTTAAAAACAATAAGCAATTCTCAAATAATTGTAGAACATATGAGGAATAATTATACCAACACAAAAAGGGAACTTTTTTTTGAGTGTACCACTGCAAGAGTGGTATATTTCAGCAGAAGAGCCACGGTCACACTTCATAGTTTTCTTTTGTCGGGAATTCGTCGGGTTGCTGGAATATATTGGACGAATTTATATTTATTTTTAAGCAATTGGTAATTAATTATTCAGTGCTAATAGCGAAAAGAACCTTTGACCAACTTAAGGAGTTCGTGATATAGCAAAACACCAGTGATTTGTTGACCTCTTAAGAGCCATAAACCTTGACATCCGGGTCCAACGCAGCACTTTCTTTTCGTCTGCAGCGGAGAAAAATCAATATATGTATGGGGTATAGAAATCGAATCTCTGCATATAGTATAGAGTACAGATATCGCGACGAGGACAAGTGGACGCCCCCCAAACGATAATCAAATCAGCGTGAAAATATGTATACGACTGAGCCGCCAATCTTTCAAAGAAACGCAGATTGCAGCCGCGGCTTTTGTGACCGTGAATCATTCAATTGAACGGGGAGCTGTATAGGTGGAACATATGCATGTTCTGATTCAGTGCACCGTCTGTATTCGCAGATATCGGGGACCAGGCTGCCACAATGGGTTCCCTGTTCCGGAGCGAGGAGATGGCGCTATGCCAGCTCTTCCTGCAGAGTGAAGCGGCCTACGCCTGCGTTTCTGAGTTGGGCGAACTGGGATTGGTCCAGTTCCGAGATGTGAGTAGGATGGATTACATAAAACTGCGGTCCAAATAATAGCACATGGAATAGGTTACCTAAGACCTAAGATTTAACATTCCGTCATTCGTTTCCTCTTAATGTAAAACAACGTTTATTTTAAGACTTACGACACCGTCCACAAAACATTAAAATCTCGTTTTATTATCTACATTCATGCAAATGTAAAATTTAATTGGAAGTACTAAAATGTAGCCAGTAAATTAAAAATTATTCATATAGTGTACGGTGTTTTAAAATAAACACGACATAAGAAAAAATATACAAAAAGTACTTAAAGAACTAAAATTCCAGTGCTATGATTTAGCCTCAATAAGTGCAATATACTGAGAATTTCCTAATATTCAAGAGCTTTTTCCAAATCCACAGCTCAATCCTGATGTGAACGCATTCCAGAGGAAGTTCGTCAATGAGGTGCGTCGCTGCGATGAAATGGAACGCAAGTTGCGTTACTTGGAGAAGGAGATCAAGAAGGATGGCATTCCCATGTTGGACACCGGTGAAAGTCCCGAGGCCCCACAGCCCCGTGAGATGATTGACTTGGAAGTGAGTGCAAATGCAGAGAAAATTGTTAAAATATTTACATTATTAATTAGTATTGAATTGATTAAAATTTGATAAAAGTGTACTGCCAATATGCATCTCATATTGCTTTTATTATTGTTTCCCATTTTGCTAACCGCTGATTAACCTGTATGGCTTCTTTTCCTGCACTTTAGGCTACCTTCGAGAAACTGGAGAACGAGCTGAGGGAGGTGAATCAGAATGCCGAGGCCCTGAAGCGCAACTTTCTGGAGCTGACAGAGCTGAAGCACATTCTTCGCAAAACTCAGGTGTTCTTCGACGAGGTAAGCAGCTGCATGGGCAACAACTAATGGGTATCAGCTTACAAAAACCGATCGGTAACCGATTTCCAATTAACATAAGCAGACCGGAGAAACGGTCGATAACTAACCAACTTTTCTAAGCAATAACCAATTACCCAACCGACAACATAAGTGTGGCAGCCACGGCTTCTAGTTACAAAAGCCATCTCTCCCAAAACCACACACTAAAATGATTTAACCCGACCACCCTGCACGAATCTCCACTTCCTCCTTCTCCGTTTCCAAAGGCAAACGATGTGTGCTTTACCCCTCAGTTTGAGTTTGTATAAATTACCTAATTGTGCGTTTGATATCAGTTGATGGTTATTGTTTCTAGCAGATGTGTTCCTGAGTACTCCACAAATATTAAAGCTTTGGCTTGGCTTTTTTTTCCAAACCAATAAAAAACTTCTTTGGGCTAAAGATGATTTTGATGTTTATATGTAATTATGATTTTATAGCCATCTAAAGAGTTTCCAGAACACATATGTATGTATATTACTTTTTCAATTGCTTTGTTTTTTCCACACTCTTTTTATATATACCTACATAGATGTTTGTACCAGCTTATTGTTTAGTATTAATTATTTGAAATTTTCGGTTATTTTATTATTCGTTTTCTACATTTTGTTTTTCCATATCAATCAATACACAATCAAACAATCAATCAACCAAACACTCCCCGACCAAAAACCCGAAAAAATACACAAAACCGCACACACCACGAACCCAACGCCCAATCAAAAAAAAAAAAAAAAAACACCACCCAATGCCACGCCCACTGCCGGTTGTGTTGCCAAAAGTCGGTGCCCACGGTGTATAAGTCGAGTGGCGCATACTCATCCAGCAAATATCGGCGCTATCTGCAGATGGCCGACAACCAGAACGAGGACGAGCAGGCGCAGCTGCTGGGCGAGGAGGGTGTCCGGGCCAGCCAGCCGGGACAGAATTTGAAGCTTGGGTAAATATTGATGCGGACCTGGGACAACGGACAACGGACAAGCACGGATCACGACGAGAACGGGGGAAAACTAAACTCAGGCCAAGACCCACTCGCTCTCGCCCTCCTGCTCCTCTCACTTTATGCTGTTGTGTTATACGCGTCCATATGTCCCATGTCCATGTACAATTGATGAGTGTTCCATGTTCCACGTGATAGGCTATCGAATTGATTTCAAACATAAAGCACATACTCTACTTCTTTCCTCTGGTGTCGGTTTCCAAACTCTATATCCAATCCAATCCAATCCAATACCATAAGCCACAACCAAACCCCAAAACCCAATTGATTCGGAGGCGGTTTTACTAACCTTTCTCTAAGTGTTAACTACAAGCTAACCGCATAAGTAAGTCGAGTCGAAATGACATTTGCCCACCATTCACAATTTCTAGCAAGAAGGCGGCGTAAACCAAACGACCGAGTCGATGACCCGCGCCTTGATCACGGACGAGGCGCGCACCACCGGTGCCTCCATGGGTCCCGTACAGCTCGGGTACGTATCCAGCAACCAGCAAGCAGCATCCAAGATTGGGCAGGCGCACACTCGGTCTGGGACATTGCTCCTTAGACAGCAATATATTCCTTGGGCGAAGAAATTGGACACTTAAAATTATATTTCATTTAACGGATATGTCATGTTCAAGTCTTCTTTAATAATGCAATTTAAGTGTATTATATGATAACAAATTAGGTCTTTCCTGTAAACTATAATGAAATCTGTTATTTCTGTGTTTAGGAACACCTTATAGGGATTTAACTGATTTTTTTTGGGTTGTATGATGATGATAAAAGTTTCATTTAAGTTTTTAATAGTTAATTCGAATTGTTTATTTTTACATACTTAATGAAGCTAGTTTTTTAATAGAATTTTTTAAACTATTAAGCTTAGACCGCTCTTGCCGCCCAAGGAAGCTTTTGCTGTACCTAATCTTTTTTAGCTCTTAACCAACGAAATGCCACACAAAATTATTGCTTATTGCCGCCAACGCCAAACTAACCAAAAGTCAAAGCAGCTGCGCCGCCAATGATAAAGATTAACCGAACCATGACCATTCATTTCGACCAGCTTGGAGTCTCTCGGAGTTTCGAGCAATAATTTTCTGTGAAACATCCCAAGAAATGACACATCAAAAAAACAACTAAATTAAACGTCGTTCTCTTCTTATGCTCCTATCTTCCCCGCCTTAAAAATTTCCAACCGAATAAAATAATGTTCAAAATATTTAGTTACATGGAGAAATCGAACGAACGTGAGGATTATCTTCCATGGTTGGTACCCTGCCCCTTCAAAAACACAAGACTAGACCAAACAATCAGTCAAACTCGAATCCATTAGCCAACGAACTACTGCGCTCATCAATCGTATTTGTATCCGTATTCGTATCGATCGGTCAATCAGCTGTATATAGAGACATGTCATTAGCTTCGCTCGCCTCGCCTCGCCTTGCCCCCCAACACCGCCCCGCATCCCGTCCAGATTTCAGAGTGCCACCTAGAGTGCTAACCTCTCACCCGCCCATCCAAGCGATCCACCCACCCAGTCAGTGTCTCATTCATCCCGATTTTTGCTATCGCCTCGCGCGTCCATTGGTAACTTGTGCTTGAGAGTTTAGTTTTCCTTGTTTGTCGTAAATAACCGGAATGACTCTGTTGGATAGCCCATAGCGGAGACGTGTCACTAATCGCTGGTTCCCAATCTCCTCTAGCTTCGTGGCTGGCGTCATTCTTAGGGAGCGGCTGCCGGCCTTCGAGCGGATGCTGTGGCGCGCCTGCAGGGGCAACGTCTTTCTGCGCCAGGCGATGATCGAGACGCCGCTGGAGGATCCCACCAATGTAAGTCCTAAGCGGAAAACTAAACTTAAGTATCCATATTTAAATACTTTGATTTGGAGTAATAGTTTAATAAATCATATAGTCTTCAAACTTTGTTGTCCAAAAATTACTAACCTTACTAAAAAAAAAGTTAAGGTTTGCCAAATTTTCATCCTACTAGTGATTTAATCAAAACTTTCAGTTATGTGAGTTTATTCAATAATTCAATTTGGAACCTCTCTACGTTAAAAAGAAAATTGTATCTTTTTTAATACCTAATTACTTCATACATTATTTAAAATCATATTTGCTCAGTAACCTAATCCTTGTGTCCATCTAATTTCCAGGGCGATCAGGTGCACAAGTCGGTGTTCATCATCTTCTTCCAGGGCGACCAGCTGAAGACGCGCGTCAAGAAGATCTGTGAGGGCTTCCGTGCCACGCTCTATCCTTGCCCCGAGGCTCCTGCCGACCGCCGCGAGATGGCAATGGGTGTAATGACCCGCATCGAGGATCTGAACACCGTGCTCGGCCAGACGCAGGACCATCGCCATCGGGTCCTTGTGGCTGCGGCTAAGAACCTGAAGAACTGGTTCGTCAAGGTGCGCAAAATCAAGGCCATCTATCACACGCTGAATCTCTTCAATCTGGACGTGACCCAAAAGTGTCTGATCGCCGAGTGCTGGGTGCCGCTTCTGGACTTCGAAACCATCCAGCTGGCCTTGCGCCGCGGAACTGAGAGATCGGGCTCGTCGGTGCCGCCGATTCTTAACCGGATGCAGACGTTCGAGAATCCGCCCACCTACAACCGAACGAACAAGTTCACCAAGGCCTTCCAGGCGCTGATCGATGCCTATGGCGTGGCCAGCTACCGGGAGATGAATCCGGCTCCCTACACCATCATCACCTTCCCCTTCCTGTTTGCCGTGATGTTTGGAGATTTGGGCCATGGCGCCATCATGGCCCTCTTTGGTCTGTGGATGATTCGAAAGGAGAAAGGACTGGCGGCTCAGAAAACGGACAACGAGATCTGGAACATTTTCTTCGGCGGACGGTACATCATATTCCTCATGGGCGTCTTCTCCATGTACACTGGCCTCATATACAATGACATATTCTCCAAGTCTCTGAATATCTTTGGATCCCACTGGCACATGTCGTACAACAAGTCGACGGTGATGGATAACAAGTTTCTGCAATTAAGCCCCAAAGTCGACTACGAGGGAGCTCCGTATCCGTTTGGCATGGATCCCATTTGGCAAGTGGCTTCGGCCAATAAGATCATCTTCCACAACGCCTATAAAATGAAGATCTCGATTATTTTCGGAGTCATCCACATGATCTTCGGCGTGGTGATGAGCTGGCACAACCACACGTATTTCCGCAATAGGATATCCCTGATCTACGAGTTTATTCCCCAGCTGGTCTTCCTGCTGCTGCTGTTCTTCTACATGGTATTGCTAATGTTCATCAAGTGGATTAAGTTCGCGGCCACCAATGATAGTGAGTACAAATGAATCACTTCCTGTACTTAGCTAATTGCACATATATCTGGTTTTTAGAGCCCTACTCCGAAGCCTGTGCTCCTTCCATTCTGATCACCTTTATTGACATGGTGTTGTTCAACACGCCCAAGCCACCGCCAGAGAATTGTGAGACCTACATGTTCTTTGGCCAACACGTCATCCAGGTGCTCTTCGTGCTGGTGGCCGTCGGCTGCATTCCCGTGATGCTTCTGGCCAAGCCGCTGCTCATCATGCAGGCTCGCAAACAAGCTAATGTAAGTAGTGTCTCGATCCATGCACTCCATCACTACCCATAGAAAAGCCGTCCATCCACATCACAACATATCAACGCACATCGCACTCCCAGCTCTCCACATTATACTAACTGCTTCTCGTTTGTTTGTGTTCCCAATTAACAAAACTAAAACCCCCCAACACCAAATCCACACCGAATTAACTAAAACACTCCAATCCACAACCCATAGGAAGAGGTTAGTCGTGTCGTTTTGTGTTCCATGTTTAGTCGAACTTTTCTAATTCGAAATTATCCCATTGTTTTATTTTTATTTACCTTGAACATAAGTGTACTTTAAGGTTTATTAGATGGGATTTCCTTTAGAGAAGTTCGACTTTAGTTCCCCTGGACATACCTCTTTTAAGTCAGTCACTAAGCCAGATTGTTTTCAGGTTCAGCCCATTGCCGGGGCCACTTCGGATGCGGAAACTGGCGGCGTGTCCAATGGCGGATCTCATGGCGGTGGCGGTGGACATGAGGAGGAAGAAGAGCTTTCGGAGATCTTCATTCACCAGAGCATCCACACCATCGAGTATGTGCTGGGTTCAGTTTCTCACACCGCTTCGTATCTTCGATTGTGGGCGCTCTCCCTAGCGCACGCCCGTAAGAAATCAAATGAATAATAACTACTAGACACTCTAATTCAAACTAATCTTCTCTGGCAGAGCTAGCTGAGGTGCTATGGACCATGGTCCTCTCGATTGGCCTAAAGCAGGAGGGCCCCGTGGGTGGCATCGTGTTGACCTGCGTGTTTGCCTTCTGGGCCATTCTCACAGTTGGCATTCTGGTGCTCATGGAGGGCTTGTCCGCCTTCCTGCACACACTGCGTCTTCATTGGTGAGACACTAGTACTTATCATTACTTTAAATCCTCTCTAAAAACCTGTCTTTTATAGGGTTGAGTTCCAGAGCAAGTTTTACAAGGGTCAGGGATACGCTTTCCAACCCTTCTCGTTCGATGCCATCATAGAAAATGGAGCAGCCGCCGCTGAGGAGTGAATGGAGCGAGATTAGACGAGGGGTTAGGGGAGCTACAACCAAAGCATGTAGAGAGTCTCATTGCGTTATATGAAATTAACTATCCAATCAAGTGGAATTTACAAATTACAGTAACAAATAAATATGTACGCTTTAATGTTCAATTGTGAATTTATCTATATATATGTCATATAGCCCATGCAAGAGTTAGATTGCTAATAATATTAATGTTCTTTGTAGACGTTCTCGTGTTTATTAACTATACTTGTAAAATCATAAATAAATACCAAAAGCTATCCCCACTTGGGGTTGGCTAGAAAAAGGTTATGTTTTTCTGGGAGTTTTTAGTTTTTATTTAGTGGGACATCAGTTCATTAATGGCAGAAACGAATTTGTTAAGATTTTCTGGTTGGGGCTCGTAAGGTTTCAGGGCTTTAAAGTCCAGAGAGACGATCTGGGCATCCAAATCCTTAACTTTGCAGTAGAACAGATAGTTCTCGGATGCCAATTGTTTGGCCAATTCCATTTGATGGTTATCCATTAGTGTATCATTTATAACAATTAGTCCATGTTTTTGGTTATTTAGGATATCCATGCATGTTCCGGCTCCCGCATGTCCAATAATTAGGTCCGCAGATTTGATATCCTCTATGTTTGGCCGGAATTTGTATTGTTCTATCTGGATTCCGTAGAGTTGTCGTATCAGTTGGCAATCGCCTTCCGTTAAAGGTTGGGAGTTTCCGTGTTGTATGACGAGTTTAGTGCATTTTCGATTCTGCAGCGCCTTAAGAGTTGTTTTCGAAGTTACAGCTAATATGAGGGCATCGAATTTGGTAGTGCCCACGGTAATATAAACATTGCTTAAATGCATTATTTATTTTTATGAAATTAAAACACAAGTCACAGCTGTTTTAAGTCCTGCTTCTTCTTCACTTTTGCCATTCAGTCTGCATCACTAAACGCTTTTCGGTTAAATGCCAGCCCTGAAAGCTCAAAACGCCGGCAATAACCGTTACTTTTGCATCAAATGTGAGTGTAAAGTGCTGAAATAAATTAAAATCTTAAGAAAACAGCAAATTAATATATTTGCTTTAAGCAAAATGCTTAACTTTAATTTTAAATGTAAGTATTCCTCCAGCCTTATTTCTCTCGCGCCGCAAGAGAATGCAAATAATTTCTCAGCCCGATCTCTGCTCTCGCTATTTCGCTCATTATGCTTCCGCAACTTGTTTGTAACGGTTGTGCGCGCTTGTCGTCGGATAAATAAATAAAAACTGTGTGTGCCGTTTAGTGATAATCCCTTGGCAAATTGTATTTTGATTAGTTTGACAGCCTTAGTACATTTGATTTGTTTACATTTAATTAAATTAATTTGGCGCCTGCAAATCCCCAACTGTGTTTGTGTTTGTGTGGCTGACCGCAATTTGGTGTCGAGCCAGCGTAACCGTAAAGGTGTGAAAGAGTCCGACAAACGGTTCCAGGACGGAGGTGAAACGGTAAATTAAATTATTCCCACGTTTTGAAGTCTACGCGTGTGTGGGTGACTTGGGCGTGTGTGTCCACTCAAAAAAAATGTTATGGATTTCGACCACAGCAAAATCAAAATTTAATATGTAAAATATTTAAATAAAATTTACATTTTTTTAAATATTTTACCAAAAGGTACAAAATAAACAACATTTTCCTAGACAGAGAATTATTATGAAAAATATAAATGTCCACTTAAGCTGCACATTTCGATTTGATATTTTTTTCTCTGTGTGGGGGTGCCGGCTGCTGCTGGCTCGTCGGAAGGTAATTGACTAATCAACACTTCATTTAATTTCGTTTTTATTTCTGCACCCTCGCCGTTTGTTTATTTTGCAAACAGTTTTCAAGTTTGCCTGGCATCTGCTTTCGATTAAAATAAAAAAAACAAACAGTTTTCCCACACGAAATACTTTATATTATGGGAAGCTCACGCAGGACCCATAAATTCGCTGGTCTGAAACTTTCCTCCCCTTATGATCGTCAATTTATTATGGTTATCTCTCGCTTATTTACTATCCAAATTTGTAGAAATCATCTGGTACTGCCCCAAAATTCAATTAGAGCAACCGTGCAAATTATCTGGAGCCCCCAACGATCGTTTATATTATTTTTTTTCCGCAAAAAGAATACACACCCATACCCGCACACACGGGCCATCACTCAACGGTCAATAAATTGCCGCTCTCTTGTTTCTTTGACGGGAGAGCAAAAAGCAGACGATTAAAATTTAACGTCTTATTCGTGGGTGTGTGAAGAGCCAATATTTACATGTCTTCTCCCCCTCGCATTTTGTCCAATGATTTGTCAATATTCGCTTTCCCACTAGCAGACACCAATGTCCTTGCCTTTATTATTTGTCTACACTTAAAGAAAAAATTTGAGAAACGAATTTTAAAATTTGATCGTAGATTATATTGTAGATTATAAAATGGTTTGAAGTGTACAAACTTTGTCCATTGCCATATGCTGACACATTGCCAGCGGCTTACACGCAGTTTATCAATGAAATATGGCTATAAATTGGATCCCCAACGAGCGACCCAGGGACACCCGGGGGGAGGAGTGGGCGGATGGTGGCATCGTATCATTTGCAGCCTTATTTTAATGAAGGTCATCGTGCCAGCGTCGGGGTTGACTTCTGTACATGGTTGTCGGCGTTTAATTGCAGCAATTTGCAAAAACAGCAGCAGCCGAAGGAGAACGATAAAGAGATGGGAGCCCCAACTGGAGGCTATGGCAGAAACTGATCAAATTAATGTCATAACTCAATTAGCCGGCGGACGTATTTGCATGTATATATGTACATATAAGTTGATTTACGACAATGTTGTTGCCCGCTCAATTTGTGCTTAAACTTTTGCCAATTGATAATAACGCTGCTCTATGGAGTCCCACAGTCGGTCTTTTCAGTTGAGCTTCTCTCTGGCTGACTCTGTTAAAAGAAATTAGCTTTTAGTATAGCTAGTAGAACGAGTCCCAGGCCATTGACATTTTGATAAGAACATCTTCAATGAAACACAAGCGGTCAAAATAATTGTAGGTATAGAATTCAAGGGTCTCTAAATGAATGATTACATTCTAATAATTCTAATTACCATCCTAACTAATTAGCATGTATTTCTTTCACTCTGTAAAAATTCTATAGTTATAATGTTTAAAAAATAGTTGTCATTCGTGTTCTTTTCAAGTAGTAGAGCACGAAGCATAGGCGAAACCATTCTTATTGTGACCGCAGTTGTGATCGTGTTTGCGTTTATAGTATAAAGCCTCGCCTTACTTTGATTTGATGGTTTGGAATAACCGACGCAGTCTTCGACAACCAGATACTAGCTCCGACCACATCTTCTAAATGGGAAATATAAATTGAAATACATTATTTTCGATGACACAGAGTCTGTGGGAAACACCCCTTCCCATTAAACCAGATGCAAGTATATCTCCAATGAAGCTTTAAAAAAACCCGCCAGGTGACTTAAGTGTGCCTAACAAAAGATAGTTATCAAGTTAACGCGTAAGTCAGCCATTAATATGCCCAACAATTTTGTAAGGTACATTTCCATTGTGGAAGTGTATGTATTACTTAATAAATTACACAAATATACAATTTAGATTGAATTAAAGGAGAAGCCCCTAAATTTTTGTAACGCTTTACTTTCTAAAACGAAACGATTTGAAAGAGTGTAGCAATGTCTTTATTGGAAAATATTACTAACACCTAATATCGTTTTAGATAATATGTCATTTTGGTCATTACATGAACAATAATTTTTTGCTTCTAGCTGTTAGCTATACAATACTTTTTTCTACATATGATGAGCTAATGTCTACGTTCTTGACGACCCCTTAATTAGTAAACTAAACGATTTCCCTCTTGAAAACTCTTTTCCCAAACCCCTTCCTGTGGCTTCCCCAGACAATCGCAAGGACATGGCTCATGCACAATTTACGCAATTTAATCGGAACACAAGGCAACCAAAAGGGGTTGGCTACGTGGCCAGAGAAACCACTTAAGTGGAGACCCGAGATTGCAAACTGAGCAACCTGCAGTTGGGTATCATATTACTGAGCTTTATATTATATGCATATGCCATTGCGGAAGTGGATGTGGAAGTGGTGCGCTCAGATCCTTGGTTAACCGATAACTGCTTCCTGTTTGAAGGATCGGTTTTACATTTAAGAAAAAAACGATTGCCCTGATAGGCAATGATTTTAAGTTCATTCAATATTATAGGTTAATGTTCTTTTGGCTTATAGTTACTATTTTTTTTTTGAAATCCATTTTTTACTTTAATCTGCAGCCATGGTCGTCAAAGAGATTCCACTCCATGAGAATCTCAACATGGAGAACCGTCCCAGCAACGCTGCAACGCCGACGACAACTACCACGTTCTCGCGAGTGGGGCGACGCTATAGTCTGTCCCTGACCACTGCCATCCTACTGGCCTCCTTCTTCGCCTGCACCCTGCTGGCGGTGGGCTTCATCGTGTACAACTTTGCCACGTGTGCTGAACTGGAACCGTCACCTGACGAGGATATCGTCTGCACCAGTGTTCACCTAAGAAAGCTAAAAGCTGGCCAGGATGGACCACCCAAATATGATCGAGATGTCCGTTTGCCGCGCTCTATACGTCCGCTTAAGTATAATATAACGCTAGAGCCGCAGCTCAGCGGCAACTTCTCCTTCGAAGGCACCGTTCAGATCCGAATACGGGTGCTGGAGGATTGCTATAACATCACCATGCATGCTGAGGAGCTAAACATCTCGCGCAGCGACGCCACTGTCCGCCGGGTGCTGCCTGGTGGTGAACTGGATGGAGATAGTCTGCGGATTCACAAACAGTATCTGGTGGGAGCCAAACAGTTTTTTGTAATTGAGCTATACGACAAGCTGCTGAAGGGCGTTGAGTACGTGGTGCATTTGAGATTTGACGGGATTATTGAGGACTATCTGCAGGGATTTTATCGAAGCTCCTACGAGGTGCACAATGAGACCAGGTTAGTTATACCTTTTAAACCTAACTAGCCCTGCTTTAATTCTCCTTGATAAATTCCCATTTCAGATGGGTAGCTTCTACTCAATTCCAAGCCACAGATGCGCGACGTGCTTTTCCCTGCTTCGATGAGCCCGCTTTGAAGGCCAACTTCACCCTGCACATTGCTCGTCCTCGCAACATGACCACTATCTCCAACATGCCTATTGTGTCCAGCAACGACCAGTGAGTATTCCACTTGATCTGCCAAATAATCTGCTCTAAGCACTATCCTTAAACTTTTAGCGCCACCATGCCCAGCTATGTGTGGGATCACTTTGCTGAATCGCTCCCTATGTCCACCTACTTGGTGGCCTATGCCATATCCGACTTCACGCACATCTCGTCCGGCAACTTTTCCGTGTGGGCTCGAGCAGATGCCATCAAATCAGCCGAGTATGCACTGTCTGTCGGTCCCAGGATTCTGACCTTCCTGCAAGACTTCTTCAATGTGACGTTTCCCTTGCCGAAAATCGATATGATTGCTTTGCCAGAGTTTCAAGCGGGTGCCATGGAGAACTGGGGTCTCATTACGTTCAGGGAGACCGCAATGCTCTACGACCCTGGTGTGGCCACTGCCAACAACAAACAACGTGTTGCATCTGTTGTGGGTCACGAGTTGGCCCATCAGTGGTTTGGCAACCTGGTGACGCCCAGTTGGTGGTCGGATATCTGGCTGAACGAGGGTTTCGCCAGCTACATGGAGTACCTGACAGCCGATGCAGTTGCGCCGGAGTGGAAACAGTTGGACCAGTTCGTCGTCAATGAGCTGCAAACAGTGTTCCAGCTGGACGCTCTCTCCACGTCTCACAAGATCTCCCACGAAGTGTTCAATCCTCAGGAGATTACCGAGATCTTTGATAGAATTTCCTATGCCAAGGGATCTACCATTATACGCATGATGGCCCACTTCCTCACAAATGCAGTGTTTCGCCGGGGTCTCAGCAAATACTTGCAGGAGATGTAAGTTCTTAATTTCTTTGTGATTTATGTATATATTTTAATACATTTATTTATAGGGCTTATAATTCCGCAACGCAGGACGATTTGTGGCGTTTCCTAACAAACGAGGCGAAGTCTTCTGGGTTGTTGGACCACAGCAGAAGTGTCAAGGAGATCATGGACACGTGGACACTGCAAACGGGCTATCCGGTGGTCAAGGTATCGAGGCATCCAAATTCGAATGTGATTCGCCTGGAGCAGGTTCGCTTTGTCTACACCAACACCACCAGAGAGGATGAAAGTCTACTCTGGTGGATACCCATCACTTTTACCACTGCTTCGGAGTTGAACTTTGCCAACACACGACCCACTACATGGATGCCCCGCACTAAGCTGTACGAGCTGGAGAACAGGGAACTCACCACGGCCAAGTGGTTTATCTTCAATGTCCAACAGACGGGCTACTATCGGGTGAACTATGATCTGGATAACTGGCGGGCAATCACCGGGCATCTGATGGATGTCCAGCACTTTGAGGATATTGCTCCGGCTAATCGTGCCCAATTGATCGATGATGTGATGAATCTGGCCAGGGGATCGTATCTCTCCTACGAAACTGCCATGAACCTGACCCGCTACCTGGGCCATGAATTAGGTCATGTGCCATGGAAGGCGGCCAGCAGCAACTTTATTTTCATCGATTCTATGTTCGTCAACTCCGGCGACTATGATCTCCTAAAGGTTTGTCTTGAGTTACTCTAAAAATTTTCCAGTTAATCCCATGTTAATGGCTTTTCACAGAACTATCTGCTAAAGAAGCTGCAGAAGGTATACGAACAGGTCGGATTCGAGGACTCGCAGGGTGAGTCCGGGGATATCCTATTAAAGTTAAAGCGTGCCGATATCCTAGGCATGGTCTGCCATTTGGGTCACCAGGAGTGCATCTCCGAGGCCAGTCGCCACTTTCAGAACTGGGTTCAGACCCCAAATCCTGATTCGAACAATCCGTAAGAATACCGTGTAATTTTAAATTTAATTATGTTTTGATCAAGGAATTCTTTCAAAACAGTATTGTACCCAATCTTCGTGGGGTCGTATACTGCTCGGCGATACAATACGGCACTGAGTACGAGTGGGACTTTGCCTTCGAGCGTTACCTCAAGACGAATGTGCCTGGCGAGAAGGACCTGCTGCTGAGCGCCCTCGGCTGCTCCAAGGAGCCATGGTTGCTCTATCGCTACTTGCGTCGCAGCATTGCCGGCCAACATATACGCAAACAGGATTTGTTCCGGGTATTCGCAGCCGTTTCCAGCACAGTAATCGGTCAACAGATATCCTTTGATTTCCTACGGAACAATTGGCAAGAGATCAAGACCTAGTAAGTCGAAATAATACACGTTTTTCCAAGAAAAACTTTAATACTGAATTACTTTCAGTATGGGCTCGCAGATGTCAAACATTCACACGCTGTTCAAGTTTGCCACAAAGCGCTTTAACTCAAAATTCCAGTTGGGCGAATTCGAGAATTTTGTGAAGGACGCCCACTGGGACTACGACAGGCCCGTTCAGCAGATCGTGGAGCAGATCGAGACCAGCGTCGACTGGATGAACAAGAACTACAAGTCAATCGTCAAGTGGCTGCAGAACGAGGCGCGGGCGTAAGGAAAGGATCCTGCGGCTTGGCTGGATCAAGGCTGCAGCAGTATTAGATTTCGAAGCTGCAACTGCATCGGTTGGGCCACCAATGCATTTATGTTTAGTATTTATGTCGCGTGTTTTACCGATTGTGTGTCGCCAAAGAGAAATAGCCCTTGGCAGATCGTCCAGAGCATCAAGTTTTTCATTACTTTTAATGTATGCCTTCTTTTCATAACAATTATGAGAGTCTTGTAATTTTAATTTGTACTTAAATGTAAATGTAAATGCAATTAAAACATTGTTCGTCACAAAAAGTCTTTTAAAGTCTAATCCTGTTTCACAATTCGAGTTCTGGGAACTCTGATCACATCTGCAAACATTAAGGTGCCCACAAAGACCAACACTGTGCCCAGCCAGTGGTACAAAGTGAATGGATTTTGGAAGTAAATGATGGAAAAGACCAGCGAGATGAACTTCCGAAGCGTTAGGATCAGAGTTACCGTCAGCGAGCTGCATTCCGTGGTGAGAGTGTAAACGGAGCTGATGCACAGATGTTGGGCCAGCACGTTGCCCAATAAATAGAGTACGATCAGGGGCACTGCTACGCCCAGAAGAGGCAACTGGTAGGACTCGCCCGCGAACGCCAGTAGCCAGTGCGTCCGTATGTTATCCTGCATCAGGAGAAAGGCCGGCAGTGGCAACAGGTGGGTGTAGTACAAAGCTTCCCTCGCACACTTGCCATGACGTCGGTACAGCAACTCCTGGGTGATGCCCATGTAGGAGGAGACAAAGAGAGCCAGCACCAGGAGCAGCACGCCCACCAGCCACCAGAAAATATCCGCCTCGGTGTTACCAACAAGATTCTCCTTCTTACCCCCGAAATCTCGACTGGAGAAGTAGGTGCAGATGAAAATGCCCACGCTGATCATGACCACCGAGATGTACTGACTCGCCCGGTAGCTTCTCTTTAGAATCCAAGTGCCCAGGCACATATTCGATATGAGGGAACCGCCGCGTATGATCATGTGCAGCGTCATCGGGACATTGAACTCGAACACGTAGTTGTTGCACACGCTGGTCAAGAAGAACATGGCCACCAGGAGCGCATAGTCCCGCAGGCTGATCACCCGGTGGGCCAATCCAAACCGTGAGGTGAAGATGAAGCCCTCCAAGGCAATAAAGGCAAACTGGGCGGCGGTTATTAAGTTGCCAGCGCCTGGATCCAGTTTAACGAGCAGCTCCAGGAAAACTACGCCACTGCAGCAGCCCAAAAAGACGCCGCCAATGGCCAAAACAGCGCGAGTGGATAAATTCATGGGCTTGGATAGTGAATAGCCACGATTTCCACCAACTTTAACCTGTGATCTGGCCCATGACGAGCTTTCAGGCCAACTTTCTTTTTGGCCATGCAAAACGTAAACAACGCCAACAGGTGGTTATCGATAAGTGTAATCGCCAGCACAGCTGATTTCGTCCTATCGAAAAAGATGGGTATTTAAAATTAAGCAAAAACAATTGAAGATAAACAAAAGAATAACGAAGTATACAATTTCTTTTAGATTTAAAAACAACGTATTTTATTAAATTTACAAAACATTCGAAAACCAAACTTAAAGAACAAATTTCGTATAATCACATTCGAAACAGTCGCACCAGCAGTCTTTTGGAACAATTACAAATTACAATGATGAATGGATACATTTTAAATTTAAGTGAGAACATTTTTCGAAATATTATTTCTGTTTTTCAAGCAGAGCAATTATTTTGTCAAGCTTTTCTGTCTGTTGCGCCTCAAAATTGTCCAGTCGTTTGGCCACTAATTGAGTAAGCTTTTCGAATCTCATGTCTATGTGGTCTTTGAGAATTGAAACATCCGTGGGAGGAGCAGTTTCCTGGGGCTTAACCGTCGTCGGCGGGGAACAACCCTTCATCAGGGACATGAACTGCTGGAACTTCGCATCCTGCTCCTCCTTTTTGGATGGATTGCTTCCACCCTTCTGCAGCAGTTCCTGGATTCTTTCCAAATCCATTGGTCTTGGCAGCTGGGTGGTTATGCCATTGGGATTCGGGGCTGTCTGCAGCATGGCTCCGTAAACACAGATTTCGGTGGCCGAGGTGAGCATCTTGAGATTAATATCATTTATGCCGGAACGGTCTATTTCCATGTCGTAGCGATAGGGTCGCACAGGAACCTCGCCGTCCTCCTCTTCGATGCACACCCCGTAGACGGTTTCGCAGTACTCCTGGGAGGGCCCAATGAAAAGCTCCACCTTAGGGGCACTGCAAACCAGGGTGAGGGTTGCGATTTTAAAGCGGGTCGGGATCTGAAATCTGAGCTCACAGGGCGGCGGGGGATTTTCCGTATTTGCAAACAGCACAGCGCGTTCTTCGTTTACAACATCGTCCAAATCGGGCCTGCATACAAAAGAGATTGTGAAATAACTAGATAAAAACGAGTTTCAGGGCGTGGAATCCTTTGTCTCACTTCACAAATACGTCTTCGTCGGACAAACAGGTGGCCACTAGCTGACCCAACTCGTTACCCCCGATTTGAGGCCAATTACAGCGGGCGGTGACCTTGTCGCACATGGTTTAATTGACAAAGAAGCTGAATTTTGGAGGGGAAATTTAAAAAAGATTTCGTGCAACAGAACAGCAAAACTCAAAACACACAACTAGTGATGGCAAAAGCGAGCGATAACAGCTGCGGGGGATGCTAACCTATTGCAATTGTGGGAGGCTGCAAACCTATCGAAAATCAATTCTATCAGACAACAAATCTGATAAGTTTTATTATTTAATGTACCAATTTCTTTTAAAATCACCATGACAGAAGACGTTTTACAACCATTTTTTTTATTTTGTATTTTCTTAAATAGAAGTATTACTGCACTTAGCGAAAGCCCGCCAACCTTCTAATGTTGAATTCTAGTAAGACCAGCTACTTGCTATAAGTAGATTCTAATAAGACCATGTAGTGTGCCTGTATTTTATTTTCCGCCGGAATGGCAATATCGTGAATTGACAGCTGCGACCTTGGACATATCCCTTGTAGGTCAAATTTCAGCAAAATTTCCCACATATCGCAGTTAAAGGCGGTCGGCTAAAGAGTACACAATTCTTCGCAAACTAATTAATTCAACTAACATGGGCGGCAAGTACAAGATTGTGATGGTGCGCCACGGCGAGTCCGAGTGGAACCAGAAGAATCTGTTCTGTGGATGGTACGACGCCAATCTCAGCGAGAAAGGTGAGCTGATTACATCAATTACAGTCCCACTTCTGTAATTTGTACTATCTTTGGTGAAAAATGTTGCTCCAATGTGAAGAACGTACAAATCTCAGCATCTTTATCGAAAACGTTCTTATCAAAAATATTACAATTTTGAAATTCTCTTTAAAAAAATTGTTTTGGCATATAATACAAGTAACAATTTTTAAGGCAATAAGAAACAACAAAATATTTAAAAGATAATACATTTTGGAAAATCAATAAAATTCAAAATTGCCTTATTGCAAATTTCTCTTTAGTTCAAAGTAAGCTTATAAACCACAACGAAAATAATTTTAAAGGTCATTGATTACTTTAAACCGAAAAGAAGGTGGTTATTTAATAAATATTTGTTGAAAATGTAAAATCTTAGGATAACAATAATTTTCTAAAACTAACAATAATAATCCACAAAAATTAAAAACAAAATTTTAAACTTGCTTTTAACTTGTTTAAATAAATAAGAATTATAGAAGTCCGACTGTAATTATCCAACCAGGCGTATACTTAATGCAATATATTTTTTCAACAGGCCAGGAGGAGGCTCTAGCCGCCGGCAAGGCCGTCAAAGAGGCCGGTCTGGAGTTCGATGTGGCCCACACCTCGGTGCTGACCCGCGCCCAGGTGACTCTGGCTAACATCCTGAAGGCCAGTGGCCACAAAGAGATCCCCATCCAGAAGACCTGGCGCTTGAACGAGCGCCACTACGGTGGACTAACTGGTCTGAACAAGGCTGAGACCGCCGCCAAGTACGGCGAGGAGCAGGTTCAGATCTGGCGTCGCAGCTTCGACACCCCACCGCCACCGATGGAGCCCGGCCATGCCTACTACGACAACATCGTCAAGGATGCCCGCTACGCCGACGGACCCAAGCCCGAGGAGTTCCCCCACTTCGAGTCCCTCAAGCTGACCATCGCGCGCACACTGCCGTACTGGAACGACGTCATTATTCCCCAGATGAAGGAGGGCAAGCGCATCCTGATCGCCGCCCACGGCAACAGCCTCCGCGGCATCGTCAAGCATTTAGACAGTGAGTACTCTGGATAAAGAATATTGAAGAAATTGTAGAAAAAGTGGTATAGATTTGCTAGTCACCAAATGTTATAGCACACATTTAATTGCAGCTAGTTTTATATAGATTTGAAATTTATAGAGGAACATTTTAAATTCTTTTTCATAATGGTCTTAAAATAATTTGCATGTTATATATATTTAAATAGATAAGATTGCAAATGGATCCATATTTCAGTTTTAATATTTCTCTTTCTTTGCAGATCTCTCTGAGGACGCCATCATGGCCCTGAACCTGCCCACTGGCATTCCGTTCGTCTATGAGCTGGACGAGAACTTCAAGCCGGTGGTGTCCATGCAGTTCCTCGGCGACGAGGAGACCGTGAAGAAGGCCATCGAGGCTGTGGCTGCCCAGGGCAAAGCCAAGTAAACAAAGAGGCTGGCTCAAATGAGAGTCCCACACAAATCCGGCACAAATCAGAACACTCTGATTACGCTTCTGTTCAAGAAATAAGCCAATCCCATTCGTTGTTGTTGTTCGCGTAGCAGTAATTGGTTCATCCCCACTACAGTTATTAAATAATTTATTATTACACTCGAGGACAGGCTTTGCTTTGTTTATTATCTGGTTCATTTTTTCTTGTTCTTCTTGCCGTCCTTGGCCAGTTCCAGACCGAGGATGCACTTGGGCGGCACCTTGTAGGTCTCCGTCAGCAGGGTGTGGACGAACCTCACCTGGTTGCCTTGGATCTGCAGCTGCTCGTGCTTCTGGTGGGGCAGTTTGACCACACTGGTGCTGGCGGCGGCTCCCTGCTTGCACAGCTTGATGAACTCGGCCAGGATGATGCCGTACGCCTCGATGTTGCTCACCAGCGTCACCTTTTTGTTACCGGAGCGGGTGGCGAGCGACATCTGGATGAGGGGCTTGCCGCTCGTGTCCTTCCCGCTGCACATCTGGTAGGAGTGCTCCATCTTGCTGGTGATTAGGGAGCACATCTCGCTCAGCGAGGCCTCCCTGTTACCATACAGCTCGATCAGAGTTTCGTCCGGTCGGACTAGCTTGGTCAGCGGATGCAGCAGGCCATGCTTGCTCACATACTCCCGCACAATCTTCTTGATCTGACCCGCCGGGATTCCCTCGCCGCGCTTAAAGTTCAGCTTGGTAAAAAAGGCCGCCGTCACATCGGTCACTATGTACATCTCCTTCAGCTCGGAGTGGAAGAGAGGCGTCTCGGACGCCGCTCCATTCGCCTCGTTTGCCTTGACATCGGTTATGAAGTTCACCACTTCGGGGTGCTCCAGATCCACCGATATGATCTTATCCACTCCCTTGCTCTCCTCCCGCACCACAATGAATCCCTGATCCACCATCTCGGCCAGGAAGTTGGAGAGCTTCTTGTAGCGGGTCTTCTTCAGGTCAATTTGCTCTGGGGCTTCGGTGACCACATACAGCCTGTAGAAATTGCTGGTCAGGAGTGGCAGAGGCAGCTTTTTTCCATTGTTTTTCAAGGCGGCAAGGAAGGCGTTCTTGAGAATCAGTTCCGGTGAGGCTTCCTCTCCACCTTCTTCTTCGGATTCGGGGCTTTCCTGGTTCTCTAAAGTAAGAGCAGCCGTTTCTGTTTCCAGTTCCTCTGTTTGAGCCACAGAAGCAAAGGTTACAGAAGCTGGAGCTGATGGACTGGCTGCCTTCCTCCTTTCCGTCTCAGATCCCAGAGCAGGAAAATCCTCGCCAGACAAAGCTTTCGTCTTGACCAGCGGAATCTGCTGCACCAGACTGGGTTCATGGGACCAGAGCTTGTCGCCGAAGAGGTGGAGCATTTTGATGGCCACGCCGTGACCGCCACACATGTACAAATCATGGCTGGAGCGAGCCAACTGTCCCAAACCCACCGCTGATTTGTTGTTCGTAAGGTTCACAGCCACTAAAAGAGATTATGGGTTGTTTATTTCGCTCGCAGGCAATCAAACTAGATACTTACTCAACTGCCCCTTCTTGTAGTGCCCGTACATGTTCAATCCCACGCCCAAGGGCACCACTCCCGGCAGCATGAGATCTGCACCGTTCGTCAGCTTGGGCAGGACGCCCTCGTGGGTGGTGAAATAGGGCAGGATGTCCGGAACGGACCACAGGGTGTACAGAGTGGGCACCAGCTGGCCTCCATCCAGTTCGAAGAACAAAGGCAGCTTGTCCACGCAATAGACCATGCTCTGGACGCCGCCGTGGGTGAGGATCTTCACCTGGGTCACCGCCGCCTTCGCCGGCACCAGCTGATCCACGGACACATGGGGAAACGCCGCCTCCACGCGCTGCCGGAACTTCTTGCTATCGGATCCCTTCAGGGCAGCACTGCTCTTCGGTCTGTACGGTTTGAGAAACATCGGTCCGCCGTTCCGGTTTTGTGTGCTTAAGAAAATAGAAAATTAAAAAACAATTTTTTTTGATTGGCACATGCCACAGTGAAAACAAACAACTGGACAGTGGAGGTGCCTGTTTGGCTATTTTCCAGCCAGTTTTGGCTATGTGCAAATATTGATGGGATTCCGTTAGGAACAATGATAGCAGTTCATAGTAGTGAATATTGTGAACATTTTTCTAGAAATAACAAAGTCACCTGAAATCAGCACTTTTAGCCCATAACTTCTCTCATAGAAATCAGATGCAAGAAAGGCATAACTTTTAAAGTTTGTTGTTTAAATCTCTTAAAATCTGTTATTAAATGTTGGTTTGTAAATTTGTAATCTTTACAAAAAAAATGACTTGAAACCAGCAATTCTAAGCAAATAACATTTCTTCCAGATATCCGACTTTGAAAGACATATCTTTAAGGCTGTTTTTGGTTAAATTTGTAAAAATCTTCATTTCAATATTGATCCATAATTTTAAATTTATTTGCATTTGCAGAAAAGTGACTTGAAACCTTCACTTCTAAACTCATACATTATATATTTTAAGCTTCGTTAATTTAATGACTTTAAATATTGACCAAAATCGAATTTTGCCATATTTTTAGGGGTCTCATTTCTAGTTTTCGTAAAGCCAACACTGAATTTAGATATGTAATTTGCTTACCTTAAAAATATTCTTTAATATTTACCTTTACCTACATATATTTTTCGCCATATTTTTAACTTTGTAAAGGTATAAATGTAACCTTCTAGGTTTGACTAGAATCCAGTGCGATTATCAAACCATTATTTAAGGAACCACAAAGTTTTGAAAATAGTACGTGTCCCTGAAATTAGATTACCTCTTCCCAACCCATATTTGGAAATGTATAGAGCCACGCAACAAGCGCTGTGGAATTTTCGCCGGTTTTTTCTTCTCCGAAATGGAAGAGAGCCTTCTCAGGTAGCAAAAGGTAGGAAACCCAAGGATCTTGTAAGACGCCATTTTATTCAACAAAACATCTGTGGTAACAATTCTCTGCATGGCCTTGTAACTTGGAAATGCGTTTTCTTCATTGTTATAGTTAGCTCAAATTTGTACTTGGACTGATAATAAGTTGGTAAAGTAAACCCCCTAATTTAGATAATTGAAAAACGTAGCCCGGCCCGGTGACAATACTCTAATCCGAATCCGAGTCGGTATTGCTGTCGTTAGCGGTGGCGTTAGCCTGAGTGGGTGGGTCGTAGAAGTGAAGGCTCTTGCGCCAGATCTTGACGAGACCATCGAAGGCCCGGCGGCTGTACTTTCCGTACTTATTCGGGGTGCGTGGATGCTCGCGGGCCCGCTCAGTCTTTGGCACCATTTCCACGTAACGCTCGTAGGCAGCCGTGTTCTTGCCATAATCGATTTGCTTCTGACGACGAGATAGGACGGCGGGATCGGCTTCGGTGTAGGAGGAAGAGGACGAGGTGGAGGATGTGTAGCTGTTGTGGCGCACCCGCTTCTCCTCCTTGTGGCCACGGAAGCTGGTGGATTTGTTGTGGTTCCTTACGGAACGGGGATTGTTGCCACTCCTGGTGGCAGATGCGTCCCCGTTGGCCGAGGAGTTGCTGCTGTTTGGGCTGTTGGAGCGACTGTTCTCGTTGCTGGGCGGTGTATGCGAATGGCGACGCTTGTATGGCGTCTTAAGCTTCTCCTCCTTCACCAATCGCTCGAATTTCTCCTCGTTGACGTTGTCCAGAAACTCAAACGCCATCTCTCGACCCGTCTCGTCATCAATGGGCTCCAGCTTAATTTCCTCCTGCTCCTTTTTGACCAGAGAAGCGCAGCTGGCGGCACTGCTATTAAGCGAACTGGAGGCCTATACACAAGAGTAATGCGTTTAATAGGGTTAACACTCTTAGCACTGACCATTCCCCACATACCTCATCGCTCTGCCCCAACTCCGCCCGGACCTCCTGGGCCCAGCTCTGCATCGTGGGCTTCACATCAATCGATATGGAAGATGCCGAGGAATTTAGGCTGCCGGAGCCCTTCTGCGGGGTGTTGTCCACGGACATGTGTTGATCCTCGAAGAGCATAATTGTGCGCTTGTGTTTCGAGTGTTTACTGTGGTGCGGAGGATGCGTTCCGTTGCTGGCGAGGATGTTACCACGGCGATGTTTTGGCTTTTCTGCCCGACAACCTTCGCGCGTTTTTTGTTGTGATGCTCGCGAATCTGTGCAATGTGCCCAGGTGAAGAGTGGGTAAATTAGCAGCACAACTACAAGCAATGTTAAATACGCGATTTGGTCACTTAGAAAGTTTTGAAATTTGTTTATTGTTATCATTAGATCTTTTTGAATAATTTATAAGTTTTCTATACAAATATTTTTAATATTCAAAAATAATTATGGTTCAGTAGTAGCTCCAGTTTTTCGCCAAGTTTATTGACAGGAATGAAGATTGACATTTTATTCATGGCCTTTTTTCATTTAAATTAATCATACCACTTTAAAAATGTCACATACCACCCTTAGGAAGTTAATACTTAATAAGCGCTTTATAATGCTCTTTAAATCCTTTCCATGGTTAACCTTAATAAAGAGTCCGCCAGCATCAAAATCTTTATTGTTTCGGAACATGACTGATCACAAGATCTCAGTTTTGCAGAGTAATTATATTCTGTGTAGCATAATGAGTGTAATCCCAGAGTTAAATAAAATGTTTTTAATTTAAATAATAAAAAAAATAGAAAGAAACAACCTATTTAATATTAAGTTAAAGATTTAAAACTTAGCTGTTAAAAGTTTTGAATCTAGCTATCTGTAACGTACCTAACCTGTTGGTCCCTCACTTTTCAACACTACTACTACAAGGTATTTCAGTGCTTCGCCAGCAAGGTCACACTGTCTGCTTATTCGAGTGATTTAGCATTTTTTTTCGGCCACAAAGAAAATTGAAAATTGAAACGGTGCAATTGGTGGTTAGTACGCAGAATATTTCTTTATTTTCGCTACATTTAAAAAGATTTTCAACCCGAGTAAAACATATGTCAATTTCAAATTCGTAGAACATACTTTTGACTGGAAACAACGCAGCTGAAAAATGAGTCTTACGTCCGCCGCGGGGATAATTTCCCTACTCGATGAGCCGATGCCGGATCTCAAAGTGTTCGCCCTCAAGAAACTGGATAACATCGTGGACGAGTTCTGGCCGGAGATCTCGGAGTCCATCGAGAAGATCGAGATGCTGCACGAGGATCGCAGCTTCCCCGAAAACAAGCTGGCTGGCATGGTGGCCTCCAAGGTGTTCTATCACCTGGGATCCTTCGAGGACGCCCTCACCTACGCTCTGGGCGCAGGCGATCTCTTTGACGTGAATGCCCGGAACGAGTACACGGAGACCATTATTGCCAAGTGCATCGATTTCTACATTGCCCAACGGGTGGAGTTCATCGAGAATCCCAAGGAAGCGAGCACCGTGGACGAGCGGCTGGAGGGGATTGTGAATAGGATGATCCAGCGCTGTCTGGACGACAACCAGTTCCGCCAGGCCTTGGGCATTGCCCTGGAGACCCGACGAATGGACATCTTCGAGGCGGCCATTATGAAGTCGGACGATGTGCGTGGCATGCTGGCCTACGCTTACAACGTGACCATGTCGCTGATTCAGAACCGCGGATTCCGCAACCAGGTGCTGCGCTGCCTGGTGGGTTTGTATCGGGATCTGGGTGTGCCCGACTACGTCAACATGTGCCAGTGCCTGATCTTCCTCGAGGATCCGTTCGCCGTGGCCGAGATGCTTGACACCCTCACACGCTCCTCGGTGGAGACAAACAATCTGATGGCCTATCAGATTGCTTTTGATTTGTACGAGTCGGCCACGCAGGAGTTCCTGGGCAATGTGCTGCAGGCCCTGAAAAACACCGCTCCCATTCCGACCGCCCTGCCAAGCACATTTAAGCCCCAGGGCACAAGTTCCGAGGATGGGGCCAAGTCGGAGGGGGACAAATCCAAATCGGACGAGGATATTACAGAGGAAAAGCAAGGTAAGCTGCATTTTGTAACCCAATCTTTGAAAAAACGTTTTAATCAAGTAATAATCCTCTAGCTGATACTAAAGTAGAGCGAACAATCGATTCGCTAAACGAAGTTGAAAAACTGCATCAGAAGAACATTGAAAAGCTTATATCGATCCTCTCCGGCGAGGTTTCCATCGATCTGCAACTTCAGTTCCTCATCCGCAGCAACCACGCTGACTTGCAGGTTTTGCGAGGCACAAAGGAAGCGGTCCGAGTGTCGATCTGCCACACAGCCACTGTCATTGCCAACGCCTTCATGCACAGCGGCACCACCTCCGACCAGTTCCTGCGCGACAACCTCGACTGGCTGGCCAGGGCAACGAATTGGGCCAAGCTGACGGCAACCGCCTCACTTGGCGTCATCCATCGAGGCCATGAGAAGGACTCACTGGCGCTTATGCAGAGTTACCTGCCGAAGGAGGCTGGTCCGAGTTCTGGTTACTCAGAGGGTGGTGCCCTGTACGCGTTGGGCTTGATCCACGCAAATCATGGAGCCAACATAATAGACTACCTGCTGCAACAGCTGAAGGATGCCCAGAACGAGAATGTGCGTCATGGTGGCTGTCTGGGATTGGGTCTCGCTGGCATGGGCACCCATCGGCAGGACCTGTACGAGCAGCTGAAGTTCAATCTGTACCAGGACGACGCGGTTACCGGAGAGGCGGCGGGAATCGCCATGGGCATGGTTATGCTGGGCTCCAAGAACGCTCAGGCCATCGAGGACATGGTGTCGTATGCGCAGGAGACGCAGCACGAGAAGATCCTTCGCGGCCTGGCCGTCGGCATCTCTCTCACAATGTTCTCGCGGTTGGAGGAGGCTGACCCCTTGGTGACCAGTCTGTCCACCGATAAGGACCCCGTCTTGCGTCGATCGGGAATGTATACCATCGCCATGGCCTACAATGGAACTGGTAGCAACAAGGCTATCCGCAAGCTGCTCCACGTGGCCGTTTCCGACGTGAATGATGATGTACGTCGCGCTGCCGTCACCGCCATCGGTTTCATCCTGTTCCGCACGCCGGAGCAGTGTCCCTCGGTGGTGA